CAGATGTTTTGTCTCTTGATCTGCAGTGCTTCTTAGTATCGGCCATCGATTTGAATCAGATGTGAGTAATCTGCTTTGTGGAGATCAGAGAGGAAGTAACCTTTAGGGAAGGTGTCAGTAAAGCTGTCAAAAGCAAAGGAAAGCCCGTCTCCATCTCTCTCAGCTTTCTGTTAGAGGTTCCCACCATGTGTATCAATGCCATCTGTTCCTCAGCACCAAAATAACATGCTTCTGACGGTGCCACACATGTCTGTGTTTTAGAGAGACGGAGAACGTACAGTACATGCATATGTAAAGTCTGCATTATCCATAATGCATGTGCAATGTGGTGATAATGTGCATTAAAAATAGTCTCACAATGCATTATGCAGTGTTGTTATGATTCATTTTTTTATGTTAAAAGATAGAGTAAGCTGTTAAAAAATTAAAAAGATAGGGGTCAAGATCCAAAGGGGTTGTTGTTAAGCTACAAAACAATAAAATTGAATATTTTGGTTTTATCCATTTGAATGTGTATCACGCAGTTTAGATTTTTCTAAACAGATAAAATGGTAATCATACATTGTTTTGTCCAGTCTAATAATGTTTCCTCACTATTTTTAGATATTCTAGTGATTCAGATCTTCTAGACACAATTCAATACATTCTGTTGAATTAGGAGAGGGGGGGGGTGCCCAAAATAGCGTTTAATGGGCTCTATGCACAGCTAGAGTTTTGAATCCAACAATAAACTTCCGGTGAAAGCTTAATGTGACTATTTTCAATTTCACAAGATTATATTTACAGAATGGATGTTGTAATGCAGGGGTGTCCAAACTCGGTCCTGGAGGGCCGGTGTCCTACTGAGTTTAGCTCCAACGTGCTTCAACACACCTGCCAGGAAGTTTCTAGTATATCTAGTAGGAGCTTTATTGGCTGGTTCAGGCGTGTTTGATTGGGGTTGGAGCTAAACTATCCAGGACACCTCACCTCCTGCACCGAGTCTGAACATTCCTGTTGTAATGTAATTACAATACATGCAGTTAAATAGACCTATGTTTTCATTTAGATGTTCAAGCATAAAACGAAATGAAAGACTGTTTTAGCCAGTAGCGCTGTCATTAGCAACTGGCTAGCGTAGAAACTCCATTGAAAATACTGGGGTAAAATAAACTGTCAGATTTTTAAAGACATGACAGGGGGAAATGGAATTTAATGCAGTGCATCTTGTCCAATCAGAGGCCCAGTGAAGATGATATATATATATATATATATATATATATATATAAATATTATAGTTGAAGTCAGAATTATTTGTCCCCTTTGATTTGTTTTTTGTTTATTAAACATTTCCCAAATGATGTTTAACAGAGCAAGGAAGTTTTCACAGTATATCTGATAATACTTTTTCTTCTAGAGAAAGTCTTATTTGCTTTATTTCGGCTAGAATAAAATCCGTTTTTAATTGTTTAAACACCATTTTAAGGTCAAAATTATTAGCCCCTTTAAGCTAGATATATATTTGTTCAATATATATATATATATATATATATATATATATATATATATATATATATATATATATATATATACACTACCAACAGTTGCTACACTTTAGTAAAAGTTTAGAATCAGATAATCAGTTTAGATAATCAGTTTGTAACTATATTATTTATTGTTTAAATGATTAACTATAGTAATTTATTTTAATGTGACACATTATTGTTTGCTTTTTATATTTTACAACCTTAAAAAATTATATTTTATATTTTACAAGCGATTTTAACTAAGTATGATAATATTAAGATCCTGAATTAGTTTATTACACTTAATCCTACAATCAAACGCTGTTTTCTTTGTGAATGTGGACACTTGAATAGTCATAAGTGTTTACTCAATTATTTTTATTTACATAATTTGTGTTCAGAAACTGCATAGATATTAAAATGATCGGTATGATATAGTAATGATATAAGGACTGAAATGGGAAACCATATTTGTAAAGCTCAATAGGTGGCGATAATGCTCCTAAGGAGTTCCCATATATGGTTTGCCTAGATCGTGTGTGTGTGCCTGAAACGTGTGTGGTTCTGCGGGTTTGCAGCTGGATGTATCTCCCCTGCCTTGATGATACAACACATTACTGTGAATTTTTACAGTTATATCCTGTAAAGTGATACTAGTGTGATCTACTATGTAAATTACAGTAACAGTAACATTGGCTATTGCACATTGCGATATCAATGCTGAAACGATATATTGTGCAGCCTATATGTCTTTAAATAAATGCGATGAGAAATAGATGGCATAAGAAAACAGCAAAGCTTGGGAGAAAGTCCAGGAAGAAATAAGGCCAAATTAGTTGTAACATGTGCTGCCAAAGCACTTTATCTTGAAGTGAATAAGCACTTGATGTGATCCTGGGGGGGAAATAAAGAAAGTCCAGTCCTTACGTAATTCATTCTTTAACTGACAGCACGGAGCCAGTGTTCCCTAGATGTTAATTGGGCTGCGATTAAATCAAAAAGCCTCTGAGGACCTGACACGTCCTTATTGGAGACAGACAGATTGTGGAGGAAAATCCTGGAAATCCATGCTTTGGCTCGAACTTTTATACAGTCTGTTTAGTGACATGAGCATACAGAATTTGAGAGAGAATGAATATTGTCCATTTTTAATACAGACGTCTTTCTCTAAAAGGTCAATCAGTGTAGTTTGTGTACCAAAATAATCTCATTAGACATAATTAGTACATGAATCATTAGATCACATATTAAATGGCTCTCTCTTAGGATCACATCGCAGCCCAAGTGTCATTTTAAACTTTGCTACTATCAAATCTATTTAACCCATTTGTCCGTATGCTTTTAACAATGTAAAATATAATCTAAATTAGTTTAATTACTTGTCCTTTTATTTATTTTAATAAGTGCATTTCAGAATTACAACAGTATTTCATTTTTAAATAGACATGTGTGTTGTTCTGAATAACAATGGGTTATTTGACCTATATTTTGGTGCTTAATAGATTACAGAAAACATTAAAGCACATATGCTGATTCAGAGGATTTGTTCAAAATGAATTATCATTTAGAAATGAAACTCATTAATGGATCATTGAATCATTCAATCAAAAGAATCATTCGAAAAGAGATTCATTCAGAAACTAAACATTGCTCTGAGATGCACAAATGTTCTGCTCAATCTTTATTTGAAATGATTTATGATCGCGAAACATAAAATAAAGAGAATATTGTATCTAAAAATGGCTTCACTCTGTATTAACATGTTGTTTGTTAGTATGTTGTAAAAAATCTACGGTAGATCACATTCAGAAATCAATCAAGGTGTAGGTTTGGCTTTAATAACGTGAATTATAGCCTCAATATAACTCAATTCAAGTTTTTATTTGTATAGCACTTTTTTACAATAATCATTGTTATAAAGCAGCTTTAAAATCAAAAAAGCTAATAACTGTAATTAACTAGTAACTAATAGCTTTTAACAGTTAAAGTCATTATACTGTATACAACAGGGGTGCTCAAGCCTGTTCCTGGAGATCTACCTTCCTGCAGATTTCAGTTGCTACCCTTATCAAACACACCTGCCTGTAATTATCACGTGGTGTTCAGGTCTTAATTAATTGGTTCAGGTGTGTTTGATATGGGTAGCAACTGAAATCTGCAGGAGGGTAGATCTCCAGGAACAGGACCGAGCACCCCTGGTATATAACATATTACAGTGTTTCTCAACTGGTGGGTCGTGACCCAAAAGCGGGTCGCAGGAACATTTTCAGTGGGTCGCGGAGTGTGTGGTCAAAAAAACAACAAAAGTTTAGATTTTAGCTTATATTTAGCTTATACTGGACTTTTATTTTGAAATGCGCACACGACTAGCGTTTGACATGTGAAATTTTATTTCATTATATCAAGAAATATATCGAAGTGCAAGTACAACCCTGAATATGTAAATTATGGATTTACATATATTGTTGACAAAAAAGGCTTAAAACCTCATTGTGTCATATGTAGTGAGGTGCTCTCACAAGAAAGCATGAAACCTTCTAAACTAAAACAACATTTAGTAAACAAACATCCCAGTTGCAAGGACAAACCTGTGGACCATTTTCTAAGACCACTCCCAAGAGCTAAGGGCATCACAAAAGTGCATACATTTTGTTAAATGACAGCAATAAAGTATTGTTTATTTGTACGTCTTGGTGATTTTATTGTGATTTATCTGTCACTACTTGTGTACATTAACAAATAAATACAAATTTATTATAATTCCTAAAATTATATTATAGTTCCTAGAAATTTAAGTCGCGGCTTGATGACCATGTAAAATGTGGGTCCCATGGCCAAACCAGTTGAGAACCACTGACATTGTATATAGGTGATGTCTGTGTGTGCATGTTCACTGAAGTGTTCCTGCATTCTAATAGACTTCAACACAAAGTGAGACTGTCATTATGTGACCACAAAACCTTCCTTCCTTCCTTCCTTCCTTTCCTTCCTTCCTTCCTTCCTTCCTTCCTTCCTTCATTCCTTCCTTTCTTCCTTCCTTCCTTCCCTAAATTAAGTTCTTGGCAATAAAAAATAAGTTTGCTGCATGTTCAATCTGCAAGTTTTAATGCATTTAGGACATTTTTAGGAAATTAATCTTAATATAATAAAACTAAGCTTGTTTAATTTGACTCGCACAATGTATTTTTGACTATTTCTACAAATAAACCCATGCAACAGATTGGTTTTGTGCTTAATAATCAGCTCACAAATTGATAACGTTAAAATTATTTTTAGATGATAAAACACACACACTTTGTTGGAAATGGTAGCTTATCCACTCCACAGTTTCCTGAATTGCTGAGTACTGTGTCCTGTCTGAATTTGCGTGATTACATTGAAGAGCACGTGCTGCAGAAATAGTGGAAAGACCTGAAAATGCAGTTGATGATCCAGGATGTTTGACACTTTCTGTTTTGCCAGTGCAGTCAGTCGTTATCTGTTTCTGATCCGCAGGGGTCCATGGAGTCCCCGAACCTGGAGTTTGAATATGGGGACACAGACAGCTTCACCGCAGAGCTCTCAGGTCAGACACTAACAAAAACAACAAATATATTATATACAGTTGAAGTCAGAATTATTCGCCCTCCTGTGAATGTTTTTTTTTTTCAGATATTTTCCAACTAATGTTTAACAGCAGGATTTTTTTCACAGTATTTCCTATATTATTTTTACTTCTGGAAAAAGTCTTATTTGTTTTATTTCGGCTAGAATAAAAGCAGTTTTTAATTTTTTGAAACCATTTTAAGGTCAATATTATTAGCCGTCTTAAGCAATATTATTTAAATTTATTATAATATTAATATTATACCGCTTACCTGATTCAGTGTGATGGCAACATGCTAATCTGTGGTCGGATTCCTGACACGACTAACTGTAAATCATCTTCCATTGTCAGCCATAGCATGCTTGCTTTTGATGTATGTACATACAGAAAAGGCTGCTTCGCAAAGCCAAGTTTGCAGAGCCCTGACGATGTGGTGAACATTGAGTGTGTTTACATGGACACCAATACTTTAATATGACTAACACAATACTCTGATTAGAGTCTACCATGTAAACAGAAATCTTTGATTACCTTAATTTAACTTAAATCATAATTGAACTAAACAGAAATAGAATTAAGACGTGGGGTAAGCGTGTATTAGTGACATTACTGAAGTAAACACTGCAATCAAACTATTACTGTCATGTAGGACTTTACGCCGCATTTTGTGAAAAGATCCACACATGCGGCTGTCAGTAAAGGACAGCACACACACACACACACACACACACACGAAATACGGACGTTTTTTTTCTTTCCATTGGACGTACGGTATCAATTAAAACAACACTCTTCCACCAGTCCTTCATATTTGCGCCAAATACCCCAGTTTTTCAATTGTCTACAGAACAAACCAATGTTATACAATGACTTGCCTAATTACCCTAACTTGCCTAATTAACCTAGTTAAACCTTCAAAATCACTTTAAGCTGTATAGAAGTGTCTTGAGAAATATCTATTCAAATATAATGTGCTGTTATTATGGCAAAGATAAAATAAATCAGTTATTAGAAATTCAGGAGGGCAAATAATTCTGACTTCAACTGTATGTTTGGGTGAATATACTGGCTGAACAGACCTTTCACAAGGATGCATGAAAGCAGCATAAAGCTGATTTCGATGTCTGCCTGCTATTCTTATATAAGACTTGGCTGTAAACGCCAATGAATGTTTAATGAATCTGTTTTACTACAGTATGTGTAGCCATTGTTATGGTGTTCGTTTAACCATATATCTTTCTGTCTTGTTCGCTCAGAGCTCTACAGCTACACCGAGGAACCGGAGTTCAGCCTAAACCGAGATTACTTTGAGGAAGACTTCAAGAATCATGGTAATAATGTTTTATTTTAGAGCTCTCTGCGTATATATATGTGTTTTAGTTATTTTATTGTATCATATAGCTCCGGTTTCCCCCACAGTCCAAAGACATGCGCTATAGGTGAATTGAAGAAACTAAATTGGCCGTAGTGTATGAGTGTGTGTGTGTGTGAATGTGAGAGTGTATGGGTGTTTCCCAGTTCTTTGTTGCAGCTGGAAGGGCGCTGTGTAAAACATATGCCGGAATAGTTGGTGGTTCATTCCGCTGTGGTGAAAATGAATGAATGAATAAACTGCTAATTTACTGTGGAATAATAATATGGTAGTCGTTAATAAAGTTTGTGTATAGGGTGTATTATTAAGGGATGAATAATACATTCTTAATGTGTACATTATAAGTAGGCCCACACGGAATCTGCCCGCGCAGATTTCTGCAGATTTTCCGCAGAATTACGCAGATTTCTGCAGATTTTTAGCCCATCATTAATTCTGTTAATTTACTTGAGTAAATGTGTAAATCTGAATTTATTTAGTTTTTATTCAGTAATTTATTACTTTTTATTTAATATATTAAGGTCTCAGCTGTGATACTCCGCTGGATACTCGCAAAATAATTCTGCAGAAAAAAAAAATTCTCTGCAGAAATAGCAAAAAACGTCCGCAGATTCCGTCTGGCCCTGGTCATTAGTACCAACTAACAGCTAATATGCAAGCTAATAAGCAACAGAAGTGAAAATTGGTTATATTATATATTATATATATATACACACACAAGTTACTTTTTCTTGTTTTAAACTCTCTTATTATCATCACATAAAGGGATCGTTCAGCAAAAAACTAAAATCCTGCCATTATTTACTCACCCTTGACTTGGTCCAAAGCAGTTTACTATGGAAGTCAATGGTTACCGGTTTCCAACATTCTTCAAAATATCTTCTTTTGTGTTCAACAGAACAAAAAATGGTTTGTAACAAGTCACGGATGAGTAAATGATTAAATATTCGGGTGAACTTTCCCTTTAAGATTATTTTCTAGTAAATGTATCCTGATTTAAGTATTTAAAATGGAAAATAAGTTCATTTCAGTGTGTGAGAAAGTTTATTTGGGGGTTTAAAATAAGTGCTGAGTGCTTGAGAAAGAGTAGATGTGTGTTTTCCTGGTGTTTGAGAGAGAGAGATATGACTGATTAACCAAACACTCTCGGGTTTAACATTTAAACCGGAGTCTGAAGGAGAACAGAAATAAAGAGTCAGCGTATTTGTGCAGTTCTCTTTAATGAATGTTTGTAGTTACAGTGTGCTTTTACACTGTGTGTGTGTGTGTGTGTGTGTGTGTGTGTGTGTGTGTGTGTGTGTGTGTGTGTGTGTGTGTGTGTGTGTGTGTGTGTGTGTGTGTGTGTGTGTGTGTGAGCTCAATGTCACCTCTCCAGACCTCTCTCTCTCTCTCTCTCTCTCTCTCTCTCTCTCTCTCTCTCTCTCTCTCTCTCTCTCTCTCTCTCTCTCTCTCTCTCTGTATTTGCTGTGGCACTGCAGTCCTTATAAAAATGAGAGAAGCCAAGAGTCTGGATCACCCAGCACCCAGCAGTGTCATGTTAGCTTTTGTCTCTTTGTATATGCAGTGTGCTTCTTTTGATTCTGAACAACTGCACGTCGCATATTGATGGAGTCACTTACACGACATGTTTGCACTTTTAAAAGTCGATGCCATCCAGAGAGATCAGTTTTCTTATTTGCTTCTGGCTGATGTCTGCTTGCAATGTTGACATGGCCATTTCACCCTTAAGAGTGCTCCTGTTATGCTATTTTGAAGGTTTAAAAACGTCTTAAAATATACCCTGTAGCATTAGCTTTTTGTTTCAAGGCCTTTCCAAGAGCCAACTCTGCTCTGATTGGTCAGATTGCAGTAATCTGCTCAGCTGACCTTGCTTTGCTCTGATTGGTCAGATGGCTAATTTTCTTTTTAATTGAATGTTTGTACATTGTTATCCATGTCATTTGTTTTTACATTTCTACATGTCATGTGGAGCACTTTGGGCAATTAAACTTGCAAGTTAATGTCCTTTATAAATCAAGTAGTTTCCACAAGTCTCTTGTGATTGGTCAGTCGGCTCTTGTGTGATTGGTCAGATAGGATTGCTATGCTCTGATTGGTTTGATGAGCAAGACTATTGTGATTGCCCAGAATTTTTCTTGTCTGCTCTGTCTGGTCAGATAGCGTAGTCAGCTCTGATTGGCCAGATTTCCCTAGTTTGTCCAGAAAGACCAGATATAATTACTTCTTTGATTAATTTGATGACCAAGACTATTGTGATTGGTCAGATTTCCCTAGTCTGCTCTGTTTGATCAGATAGCCCAGTCTTCCCTGATTGGCCAGATTTCCTAATTGGTCAGATAGGATAACCATGCTCTGATTGGTTTGATGGTCAAGACTATTGTGATTGGTCAGATTACCTTAAGGCCGGCTCACACTGTGGGATTTTTTATAATCCTGAACGATTGTAGCATGTCAGACTGCACGAACATGGCTCCCATGTCAAACTGTAAGATCTCAGCTGTCATAAAGTCAAACTCCTGATGATTCCTCACAGCTAACGGTAAACAATCTGTAGCAGAAATTTTGCACATGACATGTGTCAATAATAAAACCAGGAAGGAAAAACTGTTTTGACATTTCCCCGCGGTCGTTTGAATAGTCGTATGAATCACGTCATCAAATTCGGCGCTCCTATTGGTTCTTGGATTGATGCTCACCACAGCTGTTGTCACACTGCAGGAAAGTGTCTGAGATCTTCTGAGACTGCCAGAACTTCATTGGAGAAAAAATCTGATCGCAACGGGCTGTCAGTGAACATGTCAAACCCACGTTTAAAGACCACAGATTTTAGCCTAGGATTTCAGGAATCTTTCAGGATTTCCCAAATTCGTCTACGATGACAAAATCGTTGCTGAAATCTCACAGTGTGTTAAATCTGCTCTGACTGGTCAGATGATGCCAGTCTGCCCTGATTGGTCAGATAACATTGCTATGTTCTGATTGGTTTTCTATTGTGATTGGTCAGATTTTTCTAATCTGCTCGGTTTGGTCAAATAGTCCAGTCTGCTCTGTTTGGTCAGATTTCCCTATATCTGCTCTGATTTGTCAGATGGCCCCAGATATTGTAATAGGCTATTTTTTAAATAATTGGTGCCATTATTATAATATTTACTTCTATCAATTAATAAAGCTTTACTGATATTTGGGATTACATTTGTATGCACTTGTGCAATTTTATTTTGAAGTAAATAATATTAACGCTTGTATTGCTTTAGCTTTTGAGGGAAGCTTTTTTTTCTAGTTTTCATATTGTAGAGAGTCACTTACAGTAAAATGTTTTAATCTAATCAATCTGAAAGCTAGATGAAACAAAAATTAAACCTTGAAAAGGACATTAATTTGTATAATCCTTCAAAAAATTCTATACTTCTGAAGATGACATTTGAATTGATGATCATGTTTATAATCTTTAAGCAAAACAATCATTATTTATAGTATGACCACAGCCCTAGTAATACCATCATAATCTTATTTCCTAGAAGATTAAGGTAAAACTGATTCCTCGTGATGGGATTTTCAATAAGAGTGTAAATCCCATCAGAATTCAACTGTAAACCCTTCAGTGTCAGATGAACACGGTTTAATTTTACACATGGCTTCAACTGAAAAGGCTTAATGGGGAAAAAACTGCACACATAATCATATATGGCAAAAGTTTTATTAAGCGTATATTATATTTAGAGGAACGTTCAAAAATTGAAGCTTTCAGAATGAGGTTTTTAAATATGGCCAGTGATGTGGAAGAAACGTTTTTGGTTCCCTAAAGCAGTGGTTCTCAAACTTTTTTCATCAAGTACCACCTCAGAAAAAAATAGTCTCTTCAAGTACCACAATTAAAATGAGCAACATTAAATACAGTAGCGTAGTTGGCCCAGTTAAGCAGCCACAACTCTGCACAGTTAAAAAACGTGGCAGATTACCTCAGAAATATAGGCTATATGTCATATATTACATATTATATGCATAATTTTTGATACAGTTTGAAATGTGTGTAGCATGTACATGACATATTTCATTTCTCCACGTACCACTACAAGGAAGTCTGCGTACCACTAGTGGTACACGTACCACAGTTTGAGAACCACTGCCCTAAAGAACCTTCGATACAGTTCAGATTCAGACATGTTGTCTTGTACATAAGCTATAATGGATATTAAAGGTTATTCTTCAGAACAAGCTTTTGCCATTATTTATATGAGAAAAAACCTTCACTCAGAAATAAAGGTGAAATCTTGTATTCGTTTATATTAGGGCTGAACAATACTGGACAAATATGCAACAAGCGATATTGTTATTTAGTATTGCGATCACGATATTACTTACAATCTCACAAAAGTGAAACTGATAACATGTAAAAGATATTTTTCAGATCTAAAAGACTGTGTCAAAAAGCAAACATTTAGTCTTATAAATCCTGTGAATGAGTGAAAACCCCAGCAGATGTTCTGACCCTGATTGGCTGTTGTCATTTTCCCACCATTAGCGTTTATTTTTTAGCACTGGGTCCAGCCAATAGCAGAACAGCCACTACTTTGGAAGGCATGGTGGCTCAAGATAGTATTTTGGATATACTATTTTGACCAATCTGATTGGTCAAATTTAGATAAACAACCAATGCATAAATAAATGTCATTTACCAAACATGTATATGATATGTATATGATATGTATATATATATATGTATATGATATATATATATATATGTATATATATGTATATATATATATATATATATATATATATATATATGTATAATGTATAAAAAAATCTGCACATTTCTCAAAGCATATGGCATGTACTTGTTTGTATGTGTATGTGTGTGTGCATATATGTGTGTGGCCAGTCAAGCAAGCAAATGTTTTCATATGTGTGTCAGTGGTTTGAGCAACACAAATCCTGCCTCATCTTTCTCGCTTGTGAGTAAGGAAGCAGAATGAGGGCTTGTGGAGGAGTGACAGAAATGCTTGATGTCTGGTTTTCTCTCAGTGAAGGGTCGGCGGTGGATGGAGTTGAGTGTGGAGGAGCAGAGGGCGTATGTCATGCGGCTGCTGGATGCACTGGAGGTCACCGATCGAGACAAGAGGCTCAAAGTGGCACGGGCCATCCTCTATTTGGCACAAGGTATGAATAAAGCACTTGTGAAGCACAGTGAAGTGGGTGAATCTCATAAAACAGGTCGAGAACAGGTATTTCACTAGAAAATAAGAGGGAATTTTGGTAATACTTTGTAATAAGGTGGCATTTATAATATTAATTAAAGGATAGTTCTTGCAAAATTTCAAATGTACTCACTATCCAGCAAACAATTTTGTATTTAATAGATGTCTAATAGACATAAAAACATAGCCAGCTTTGCTAAAACAAGGTTAAACTTGGGCTGTCAGTGAAAATCTAATAGACATCTAAGAGTCGCCCAAAACTAGACTAGTCATCAAATAGACAGATCAGACAGACTTTATATCTGGTCATCCATTTCTGTTCATTAGCCGATTTGTTTTGGGCTATTCTTAGACGTCTATTAAATTTTCACTGACAGCCCAAATTTAGCCTAGTTTTAGCCAAGACGACCATGTTTAGACATCTATTAGACATCTTTTAAAAACATACTTGCTGGGTATCTAATAAGTGGTTGCAATCCTTTTGCACTCTAAAAAACACAGGGTTAAAAACTATCCAAATTGGGTTGTTTTAACCCTATTGCTGGGTAAATATGGGACAGAATACATCAGGGTTTAAATTAATCTAATTGGGTTATTTTTAACCCCATAAATGGGTTGTTTTTCTATCCAATAATTGGTTATTTTTGTTTAAATAATAGGTTCATTATATACAAAAATGTCCAAGAAAGATGACCCAGCGACTGTGTTGTTTTGACTCAGAGTCACTGAAGTACAGTGGGGGATGTGCAGCTTTGATTACAGGTGTACAAAAGGTGCTAGTAATAAATTTTAAAACTCAGAAAGGTCTGACTAAGGGCTGCTATGACCTTAAATCTCATTTTAATGATCTGAAATGCAAGGAACCTGCGTTTATGTTACACTATTTCCATTGCATTTAAACAAATTAGTATATAATATATGTTATCCCAGTCAGCCCCTGCTGTGAGTTGATTTGACCCAAAGAGCTGGGTTGAAACTACCCAAGACTCTGAAAATAACCCCCAAATGCTTCAACCCAAGATTTGGGTAGAAAAAATTACCCCATGTTTTTTAGAGTGTAGAGTTTCTTTATTCTGTTGAACAAAAAATGTTCATTTCTAGGTGGACTATCCCTTAAATTTTTTTAATGTATTTGTAAGTGTTTAAGTTAGATAATATGAAGATATGCTTACTTTTTCATTGTTTGGTTAAACTAACAAGTAGTCAAATCTTATCATGGTGTTACCGAAGCTAAATTTATTGTAAGATCATTAAGGTGTTTAATAATTGTCTTTTTATATTTGAATAATTTCCAAAAGCTCAGTCCTTATTTATACAAATTTTTGTGTGTTGTTTAATTTCTAATTTCTGATTTGTAGGTTGTTTTGCCTTTTATTTATGCATATATATGTGCCACCTATTGTAGCGAAGTATTTGTTTCTTTGCCCAAATTCAATTTAACAAAAATAATGCATTTTGCAATAATGAAAATGAATTAATATGAACCCTTTCTTATATGCATTTCTTTAATACATGTAATTACATAGCTATATATTAGAAAATATTCTGTATATCAGAGGTTCTCAATCTTTTCAGCCCACGACCCCTAAATTAACAATGTCAGTGAATTCGTGACCCCAAAACTCCTCAGAGGTGGTTATAAACATACAAATGCTGCACACACAGCAATAGGCCTATATAAACACAAGCATATTGACAACACAAAGAAATGCAGTAGTCTAACAATCAAATAGTTTTTATAGTAATTTATTAATTTGTTTAATTTAATATTAACCTCAACTAATGAGACTGGTGGACGCAATGGGCCCTATCACATACAGCAATACAGAAATATCTTTACAAATGAAAAAGAACTAAAGCAATAAAAGATTACAAAAGTGATTATTTTCTACATAAATATAAAAACTACTGTCTTCACGGCTTCTTTATCTGGGGGGGCCTTTTTCAGTTTATTCATGACAACTTGCAACTTGTATAATGTTATTATTAGTAGTAGTATTATTTATTATATGCATATTTATATTTGTTTAATTAAAAACAAGCTTAGATTTGCCCACATGTCAGGTTTTGGACCATATGGGGCACAGCATGTGTATTAGGATATACCTCACACTGTTATTGTTCATTTATTCGTTTGCTGGAAATTAGAACTGCTCTTCGCACTTTGCATCTAGATCAGGGGTGGCCAGCCCTGTTCCTGGAGAGCCACCTTCCTGCAGGTTTCAGTTGCAACCCATATCAAACACACCTGCCTGTAATTATCACGTGGTGTTCAGGTTCTAATTAATTGGTTCAGGTGTGTTTGATATGGGTTGCAACTGAAATCTGCTGGAAGGTGGTTCTCCAGGAACAGGGTTGGCCACCCTTGATCTAGATTGTTAAAATAGAGCCCAATGTTTACAGCACAAGTCTATTCTTGGTGTAATTTTAGAGACTCAGAGATCCTCCTCAATGTTTAGTTGTGGCCTGTATTTATTTTTCATGTATTTGACTGCCATAAAGGTGTCAGAAAGTTTAACCCGCTGCTATAAAATCAATCTGCTGCAGCTGATGCTATTGCAGCTTTGTTAATCTAATGTAAACACACAAATCCTATGAAAACAAATTAAAAGGCTGAAGGCTGTTCATTTGCATGTTGTTGCTTTTTTATTGTAACCATCAACTACTGTTTTAATCTTTGGGTTATGGATAAAATATGGTCATTTTAATAGTTTAATCAAATTTATTTGACTTGTGTAAAATCACCAATCGACTCCCCTACCATTGTCCTGTGACCCTTCAGGGGGTCCCAACCCCCACTTTGAGAACCACTGCTGTAGATAATAATACATAGTAATATAATTCTTTTTTTTTTTGCTTTTGTTTGTATCTATTCAGGGGTGTTTGACGAATGTGACACAGAGACGGACGTCCTCTACTGGTCTCGACACAATGTCTTTCTGCTGTATGACATGGGCATCTTCACGGCTCTGCTGGAGCTGCTCAGCATGGAGATCGAGTGAGTGTTTGCTTTTCACTGACCGTCTGAGAGAGACTGAAAGAGACAGACGGAGGGAAGTGTTTAAAAGAGACTATTTTTATTCTCTTTCTCCTGAGGGAGCAGGTTAGAAAAGGCTCAGTCATGACTGTGTGTGTGTGTATGTGTGGAAACAGCTCAGTCATGACTGCGTGCGTGCGTCCAAGGATCCGTGCATGCGTCCGAGTGTGTATTTGTCGGAGTGTGCATGCGTCTGTGCGTTCATACGTGCCTCTGTGCGTCTATGCATGCAATTGTGCATGCATGTGTGCATCTGTCTGTTCGTGGTTGTGTGCGTTCGTTCGTTTGAGCGTGCGTGCGTTCGTACGTGGGTGTGTGCGTGCGTGCATCAATAGAAACGGCTCAGTCATGACTCTGTGTGTGTGTTAGGGCTGCACAATATATCATTTCAGAATCGATATCGCAATGTAATCATTCACAATAGTCACATCACGAGCATACTCAACGTTGAGTCTGGATTTTATTTGTGCATTTGTATGTTTTGTAAAGCCTTTGACTTTATTAGAATTTTATAAGCAATCATGCATAAAAACATTACCATTTGTAACTTTAATTACGAATAATTATTTATTTTTTATACGACAAAGACTACGCATTTTACATTTAATCATTCAACCACTGTACACATTTGTTTATTTTTCTTTATTGTGTTTTTCTATGCTTATACCATAGATTGTTTATTATATTTTTGTTCAGATACCTCCCATACAGAGTCGTTCCAGTCAATTTAAAATTATAAGTAGTTTTCAAATAGAGATATTCAAATCATCTGATAAAATTAAGATCTTTTCACAATATATATTGCAGAATAACTTAATATAGCAATGTTAGATTTCTCCAATATCGTGTAGCCCTTGTGTGTGCGTTTGTGTGTGTGTGTGTGTGTGTGTGTGTATGTGAAACTGTGTTTAAAAGCTGGTGTGTTTCTGGAGATCTCCTGGGAGCTGTATTAATGAGACCTACGGCTTTCTCTTTTCTGTCTGTTAATGCCCGCTGTGTACGGCAGCAGAGAGCGTGATCTCTTTCTCTAATTACACACATTAAGTTCACTTCCATGTTAATGGATCTTTTAATGCCGTTCAGAGAGATATCACTCTTGTTATTGCACAGATATAATGCCAAGGGTTAGTGCTTGTTTCTGTTGCAGCAGATTAGATAGTATGAGCGGTAAGAGTAAACCTTCTGATATACTATATCGAGGTGTTTATTTTATACAGTTGAGGTCAAAATTATTCACCCTCTATGTTTAACAGAGCAAGACATTTTTCACAGTATTTGCTATAATATTTTTTCTTTTAGAGAAAGTCTTGTTTGTTTTATTTCAGCTGGAATAAAAGCAGTTTTCATTTTTTAAAAACCATTTTAAAGTTAATATTATTAGCCCCCTTATTAATTGTCTAAAGAACATACAATAATTATACAATGACTTGCCTAATTACCCCAGCTTGCCTAACTAACCCAGTTAAGCCTTTAAATGTCACTTTAAGCTGTGTAGAAGTGTCTTGAAAAATATCTAGTCAAATATTATTTACGGTCATCATGTCAAAGATAAAATAAATCAGTTATTAGACATACAAGTCGTCTTTTCGTTAAGTGAAGTTTTATAAACTAATTTCAAGAGGAGCATGTGATATAATTGAGCACGGCTGGATTCTCATCCGTAATCAGTAATAATCCAATCAGACTGTTTGAAGCTTACAATAAATAGATAGCTTTGACCCTACTGCCTTATCTTTGTTTTGGAAGAATCCCTCCTTCCACCCCATCTCCTCCTTTTTCTCCCTTTTCTAATGGGAGCTCCCGAGACCTACCTGATCTTGGACCCCCTATACATGCTTATTGACCAGGCAGGAGCCTTGGGCTCCATTATCTTCAAGCTCAGGGTTCTCTGCCGGGACAGCATGCCAAACCTGCAATTAATGGCAAGCATATCGAAGTGTGAACTCAGCACTGGGACGCTAAAGCACGCCTCCCATCAGTGCTGATATACAGCCATATCGCACTGCTACTTATGTGACATTGCTCATATATTATACTTGATTAAGTTATGCTAAACTATATTATATTATATTATATTATATTATATTATATTATATTATATTATATTATATTATATTATATTATATTATATTATATTATATTATATTATATTATATTAATTATATTACATTATATTATATTATATTATATTATATTATATTATATTATATTATATTATATTAATTATATTATATTATATTATATTATATTAATTATATTACATTACATTACATTATATTATATTTTATTATATTATATTACATTATATTATATTATATTATATTAATTATATTACATTACATTATATTATATTATATTATATTATATTATATTATATTATATTATATTATATTATATTAATTATATTATATTATATTATATTATATTATATTATATTAATTATATTACATTACATTACATTACATTATATTATATTATATTTTATTATATTACATTATATTATATTATATTATATTATATTATATTATATTATATTATATTATATTATATTAATTATATTATATTATATTATATTATATTAATTATATTACATTACATTACATTATATTATATTTTATTATATTATATTACATTATATTATATTATATTATATTAATTATATTACATTACATTATATTATATTATATTATATTATATTATATTATATTATATTATATTATATTATATTATATTATATTAATTATATTATATTATATTATATTATATTATATTATATTATATTATATTATATTATATTAATTATATTACATTACATTACATTACATTACATTATATTATATTTTATTATATTACATTATATTATATTATATTATATTATATTATATTAATTATATTACATTACATTACATTACATTACATTACATTACATTACATTAAATTATATTATATTATATTATATTATATTATTTCATGCCTATTTATTTAATGTACGAAACATGACACTTTACTTTATCATGCTTTTAATAATTACACAATTCACCGTAAGATGAAAGCAACATCAGAACTGCACAATCCTTTTACATATCATTCTTACACCTGCTGCTGCCATCTCTCCATAATAAGCCCATTCTTCATCCTCCACCACCAGCCTGTCTTTCTCTCTTTATTTTCTCCATGTTATGTTAAAGAGCGTCCGTCTGTGATCTCCTCTTCAAACACAGCCTGGTCACCCTGCCTCCTTGTTAAGCCCCTGCCTGAGGGATTAATGTTTTTGTACCGTCGTCTCTTCAGCCCACACTCTTTCTCTGCATCTTCTGCACTGTACTATGGCATAATTCGCCCAATTAGCCCTCCAGCTTTTCTGCCCATTGATTCATATCAAAGTCCCTTTAAGGCTGCAGTGTGTAGATGACTGCCCTAAAGCAGCTAATAGATACAAATTCACCACATTAAAGTTTTTTTTTTTTTTTTTTTAACATTTGAATGCAATATTTAAGTTTAAACGCAATATTTAAGTAAATATTCTATAGTCTATTGTTTAACAAATATAAAAATTCACTACTTTAAAGTGTTTTTGTTTACAAATGTATGCATTATTTGTATTTTAATGCTATATTTAAATCAAAAATATTGCAATATTACATAGCGATATAAAAATTCACCACTTTAAAGTGTTTTTTTGTTTGTTTACAATTGATTTTAATGCAATATTTAAGCCGGTGTTTCAATGATAAAAACATAATTCCATTTTATTTTTTTTACCAAAAAAGACATAATGCAGCTTTAAATTTAAGACTTGTCTTGTTTTCTGAAAAAAAGAGTCTTGTTTTCATGCTTAAAGCAAACCCCAAAATACCTGAAATCCAGAAAACAATAGTTAATGTGAAGTCATTTTTACTGCTATACAGTCAATGTGTGTATTCTATAGTTTATTACATAAAAATTCACAACTTTAAAGTGTTTTTTGTTTGTTTGTTTACAATTGATGCTAATGCAATATTAAAGCTAATGTTTCAGATCATAAAAACATGATTACATTTTGTTAATTTTGAACAAGAAAAAAAGACGTAAGGCAGCTTTAAGACATGTTTGCAAGCCTTCTTTTCTGGGACAAAAAGAGGGCTTTCATGCTTGAAACAAATTGTAAAATACCTAAAATACAGAAAAGTACATATAACGTGAAAATATATATATATATATATATATATATATATATATATATATATATATATATATATATATATATATAGTCATTTTGCTAGTATTCTATAGTCTTTGTTCATATTCAGTTGAGCACCAGATTGAGATAGTATAGGCTTTGGCTGGCAGCATGTCGGGTGCAGTGACCTAGTATTTGTGCTGTTGAAATTACAGCGCATGGCATGTTAGTGCAAAAACTCATTTGTATAATAAATAATTGGTCGGTTGTAAGATTTTCATGTAGCAGCCATGAAAAGATGCTAATGGAATGCATTTTCTAATAATGCAAATAATTGTGTTAAAAACTTCTTCATTTTATTCTTATTTTTATTCTTCTTATAATTACAGTTGAAGTCAGAATTATTAGACCCCCTGTTTATTTTTTCCCCAATTTCAGTTTAACAGAGAGCAGATTTTTTTCAACACAGTTCTAAACATAATAGTTTTAATAACTCATTTCTAATAACTGATTTATTTTATCTTTGCCATGATGACAGTAAATAATATTTGACTAGATATTTTTCAAGACACTTCTATACAGCTTAAAGTGACATTTAATGGCTTAACTAGTTTAATTAGGTTAACTAGGCTGGTTGGGTTAATTAGGCAAGTTATTGTATAACGATGGTTTGTTCTGTAGACTATTAAATTTTATTATTATTATTTTTACTTTTTATTATTACTACTACTATTATTATAATTATTATTATATTGTCATTCTTCTTCTCCTTCTTATTCTTAAGAATGTTGTTATTATTAAACATTGTTTGTATTTGAATTGTTAATAATGACCGTTATCTGAAATAAACATATATTTTAAAATGATTGCTGCTATATTCTGTGGGTAAATTTCTTAATTTTGTTTATCTTAACCTTTTATAGCAAAACAAAATCTAAAATTTACATTTAAAAAGACAAGAACTAGAACATTTTGAAGGTATTAGAAATCGTTTAAAGCATGCAGTCGCTAATTTCATTGTGTTCCTGCTTTGCTTTTCAGTGAAATGTATCTTGGTGTAAAAATGTTTAAATGTTATGCTAAAAATGAATCTAGAAATACTTGCTTTGAAAACATTTTTTGCCGTGTAGCCTCATGCATTTCTGTTTTGATTCAGTATCCTTCTGTTTTCCTCCAGTAATAACCAGGCATGCAGCAGCGCAGTGAGAAAACCAGCCATTTCTCTGGCAGACAGCACTGAACTCAGGTAAAATGCCCATTGGGACTGATTTGTCTTTTTTTCCCTCACAGAAACACATTCGCTTGCCTTTCACACCAGCCAAAATCTATCCTCATCCGCCATCATGCTCTTTCCACCAATGCTCAATATATCCAATAAACAAAACTGAGAGCTAAATGTGGCTTTCCTGTAATGGAATAATGCTGCAGCCTTAGCTGAATGTACTGTAGAAGGTTAATATTCACCCTTGGTCACAATACACAGAGATACACGCTCTTAAATAGATACTCTTATTAATACACACACTCACAAACAGGCATTTAAAGTCTGCATGAGCTGGAAGTTGCTTAGACATTTGTTTCAGTAGGTTGATGTGCTTCCATCTCAAGCTGAATACTGAGTAGTGGGCGGGGCTTTCTTTTTGTGCATCATTCACTTGTAGCAAACTAACGGTAGGAGAGGGTGTGGTTATAAATATTGTGGCTGATGCTGTTAAACTTATGTTATCAGAGAAGGGCCGGCATTCAAAATGCTAAAGATTTCATTCAAATGATCAGATTTTAATGGGAGAGAGGAGATTATTTTTTCAGTAGATTAACTTGCACAGATCACTTGTTTACCTAAAGAATAACAATGTGCACTATCAAAATAAACATTCCATCCATACTTCAAAGTGAATCCATTTTTTGTGTGTGTGTTCTGAAGGGTACTTCTGAGCATCATGTATCTGATGGTTGAGACCATTCGTGTGGAGATGGAGAGTGACAGTCCTGAGAGGAAGGCTGCCAGAGAGGCCTTCAAAATGGAGTTGGGTGAGAAAGACACAGACCTTCAGAAAACTGTGTGTGTGTTGGCAGCATTTGGCTGTTGACCTCCTCTATGGTGTGCTGATTAACCTCGCTCCTCGTCTCAGGTTCACCTCTTTATAATGGGGAGCCATTTGCCCTGCTCCTCTTCACCATGGTTACCAAGTTCTGCAGCATGAATGCGCCTCATTTCCCCATGAAGAAAGTGCTGCTCCTGCTGTGGAAGACCATACTGGTCAGTCTCAGCATCCCGATCACTCTCTTACTGTTCTATTTTAGAATTCTCATTCTGTTTGATTACGTATTCTATTCTATTTTATTCTATTTAATTCTATTCCATTCTATACTATTCTTTCCCATTTTATTCTATTCTATCCTGTTTTATTATTTGATTACACAATCACTCCTTATATTAAGCTATTTATACACTAAATTGCATTCTATTCTATTCTATTCTATTTCTCACATAAATCACGGTTTGTACAGCAAATCTATAATGATATATAGTAATTTAGTATTATGGACAGTCGATTCTTTTCAATTTTATTCTTTTCAGTGCAATTCCTCAATGCTAGAATTTATTCTATTTTATTTAATTTTATGGACAGTTTATCTTAAATTCTATTCTATTCTATGCAATATTTTAATTTCATTTATTAAAGTTTACGGACAGATTCTATTGTATTAGATTCTATTCTATTCTAATTCCTTAATGCTAGAATTCTTTTGATTTTATTTAATTTTATGGACAGATTATCTTCTATTCTATTTTTTATTCTATTCTTTTCTATTTTATTCCATGCAATATTTTAATTTCATTTTATTTTATTTTATGGACAGATTATCTTCTGTTTTATCGTATTTTATTGTATTGTATTCAGTGCAATTTCTTATGCTAGAATTTGTTCTATTTTATTTTGTTTTGTGGATAGATTCTATTCTATTCTACTCTTTTTGTTTATTCTAATCTATTCTATTTCTTTCTATTCCATGCCTTTCTATTATTTTCTATTCCATTCTATTATATTTTATTCTATTGCATGCTATTCTATTCTATTCATTTCTATTTTATCCCATTCTATTCCATGCATTTCTTTTATTTTCTATTCTATTATATTCTATTCCATGCTATTACAATGTGTTCTATTAAATTATTTTCTATTCCATTCTATTTTATTCCATTTTATTCTATTCCATGCTATTCTATTCTATTTCATTCTATTCTGTTCTATTCTTTTTCTATTCCATGCTATTCTATTTTATTCCATTTCATTATATTCCATTTTATTCTATTTTTTATTCTATTCTTTTCCATTCTGTTCTATTATATTCTATTCCATTACATTACATTTCATTCTATTCTATTAAATTATTTTCTATTTCAGGCTATGATTTTTGGTTTTATTGTATTCGTATGCTGTTTATTCTATTCTATTCTATTCTATTCTATTCTATTCTATTCTATTCTATTCTATTCTATTCTATTCTATTCTATTCTATTCTACCACACAGATAAATCACTGTCTGTCATTTGCAATTTCTCTATGCTAATATATCTTAACTAATTTTAGTTTACTTCTATTCTGTTGGACTTATTTACATATAATACAATAAATGACTATATGTGAAATGAAATGAAGCCGGCTATAGTATCATTATTGTTTGAGTTCTGTTCTGTTGTATAATGTTCTGTTCTGTTATATTACATAAATCTGTTATATTACATAAACTGTGATTCAAAGTATGACATGTTTGAAAATATTTTTATTCAGCAAAAATGCATTTAATTATAACTGTCTGTAGTATTATGTTACATAAACAGCAAATCAAAGTATTTCATATTTTATTATAAAAATCATTTTATTCAGTAGGGATGCATACAATTTTTCATTAACTGTCTGTGTGTGTGTGTGTGTGTGTGTTGGTCAGTTCACTCTGGGAGGTTTCGAGGAGCTGCAGGAGATGAAGGTGAGAATGAGAGATCATCTGAACCTGCCACCTCTGCCTGAGGACAGCATTAAGGTGGTGCGAAACATGCGGGCCGCTTCTCCACCTGCATCAGCCATGGAGCTCATCGAACAACAGCAGCAGCAGAAAAGAGGACGCCGGAGCCGCCGGGTATGACAACAACACACACACAAACACACCAAATGACTAGCAGAAACAACGTGAAGGTGTTATTCACTCTGGCAGCATGGTACAATCCCATCCAATCAGAATGTGAAATAGAAAACCTACTATATATAACAGTAGCCTGCGAAATGTATGCAACCTTTATAAGGGATTATATGCCTGTGTTTCTCCACACTGTTGCCCTTAAAACACTCTAACATTCTATTTACATCATAATGAGAGTGAAACAATAGTGCGTCTACATTATCGACCAATCACAAGCAGGTTTCTCACTGCAAAAAATATATTGCCTCAAGGATTAATTTTCCAGTACAAATATCTAAGCAATCTTGTATTGAGATACATTTACTTTAATAGCTAAATTAACTATCAAACTTTTCTTTTCTGGGGGACAATACTGTTTACATTTAGAATGGTGTTTATTAAGTCTAGATCTACTAATATTTTGTTATATTACACAATCACTCCTTATATTAAGCGATTTAGACACTAAATTGCATTCTATTCTATTCTATTCTATTCTTTTTCTCACATAAATCACGGTTTGTACAGCAAATCTGTAATGATATATATTTATTTAGTATTATGGACAGTCGATTCTTTTCAATTTTATTCTTTTCAGTGCAATTCGTCAATGCTAGAATTTATTCTATTTTATTTCATTTTATGGACAGTTTATCTTAAATTCTATTCTATTCTATGCAATATTTTAATTTAATTTATTTAATTTTACGGACAGATTCTATTAGATTCTATTCTATTGTATTCTATTCTATTCAGTGCAATTCCTTAATGCTAGAATTCTTTCAATTTTATTAAATTTTATGGACAGATTATCTTCTATTCTATTTTTTATTCTATTCTTTTCTATTCTATTTTATTCCATGCAAAATTTTAATTTTATTTTATTTTATGGACAGATTATCTTCTGTTTTATTGTATTGTATTGTATTCAGTGCAATTTCTTATGCTAGAATTTGTTCTATTTTATTTTATTTTGTGGATAGATTCTATTCTATTCTACTCTTTTTTTTTTTTCTGTTCTATTCTATTCCATGCAATATTTTAATTTCATTCTATTTAATTAAATTTTATGGACAGGTTATCTTCTATTCTATTCTATTGTATTCTATTTCACAGATAGTTGTTAACATCTGTTAATCCACTGTGCACTAGCTTGAACTTAAGCTACTATGAACATTAGATTTTTACTGTTGTTTAAAATCTAGCTGTGTTATTTAATTTCCTTAAGGCATAAGCTTCAGAAAAGAAGACAATGTCTTTATGACACTATGCTTCTTATTATTCAAGTGTATCTTCATTCAATAATGTTTAGATAGTTGTACTGGAAATCATGAGGAATCTTTTTTTTGTTTGTTTTTTCTTTTTTTTTTTGCAGTGCAGTTATTGTCCCTCCTCTGCCTTTCTCCTTTCTGTCTCCCTCTGTCTCTGTAACCCTTTCTCCCCTTTCTCCCCCTGCTTTGTGCCCTTATTTTCTCTCTGGGTTTTTGGTTGTCCTGTTGGCTCATCCCCGTCTCTCCCTTGTGTCCCTACAGAGTGCCTTTGTTGATAGCTTGGAAGGAGACAGTCCATATGCCAAGAAACAGGTCTTTACCCCAAACCCCTTTTCGTGCATTCTCTTTGTTGTGGGCTGGCCTTGCACTTCCTCCACTCTCCTTTCCTTCACAGCAATTTGTTATTTTAAAACTTTATTTTGGTGGTGGGGGGGGGGGATGGGTTTCTGAGAGATACAGCTAGCCATGGCTACCGGACATTAGCAAGACTCTCGCTCTCTCTCTCCTTCTCTCTATCTCTTTCTCCTCTTGTTTTCCATTTGCAACATCTCTCCACATATTCTCAGTCAATGAGATCCACTAGAAACACTTCAGCTCCCACTAGCTAGCAGAATGGCTTCAACCAATCACAGCTGAGTCACCTTTGCTCATGGCCTTAGCCCCGCCCACAGACACACTCATACATTGACTGCACTGGAAACAACGGTGACGCTCCACTAATGCACCTCATGCCTGATGCTTGCTCTGAATCTTGCCATTCATCCTATTGCACAAACAGTAGAAATGTAAAGAAAGTGTTTTTTTTTTGTGCCTTTGCTAAACTGAGTCTGCACAGGAATGTTAAAAATGGAGCTGCATTGTATCTGGAATGTAGGAATTTCTAAAGTTGCATCAAGGATTGTGTTTGTTTTTGTGATGCTTATCATTTGCAGGTTGATGGAACGGTAAGTTTCAGCAAAATGATTACACTGCAAAAGCTTTTTCTTACTTGGGTTTAATGTCTTGCATTCATAAATCAACACAAACTGATATGCTAATTCTTGAGATAAAACAAGAAAAACATGCTAGTGCGGAATGAAAAGTAAACTTAACTTAATGGACAGATGCATATATATCTTTTTTTTGGCAATTATTTCTTGAGGAAACAACCCAGCAGGCACACAACATTAATATTAGGTTAGATTTAGGTTGTGAAATTAGGTGACAAGAATTTAGTGTCTAGTCAGCGTTTAAGGACGTTATTTTGACGTCCAATAATTATGTTGATATTTGGTTGATTTAAAGTTGTGAGTGAAAGTGAGCCAACATCTTAAACCAACATCATATTAACGTCAAATACTGATGTTTATTTGTCAGGTATGGCAACCAAAATCCGATGTCTGATAGACATCATAGTGGTAACGTCCACACAACGTCAAGCTGTAATTCCCCATTCACACGGGACTTCAGCATCAACGCATGACAGAGGGCGTGTCTGAAGTTGGGGCTGATGCGATCGTCATAGCAGCAACAGCCAGTCAAATTAATCCACAATCGGCTACTGTCTGAGCTGGTGTATTTGCATACAGCGATCTGATTGGCTGACGCTTCCGTCAACGATTCACAATGCAGTTCTGCAACGTTTAACATCACCAATTCAAAGTAAATAGGAAGCGTTGAAGCTGACGCCCTGTGTGAATGGGGCATAAAATCATTAGACGTTAATATTTGGTTGATTTTAGGTTGTGTGGAAAAGTGACCAAAGTCCAACTTCTAGCCAACATCTTAAACCAACACCATATTGACGTCAAATACTGACATTTATTTTTCCTGTATGGCAACCAAAATCCAACGTCTGATAAACGTCATAGTGGTAACATCCACACAACGTCAAGCTGTAACCACATTAGACGTTGATATTTGGTGGGTTTTAGGTTGGATGTTGGACATTGACGTCGACCTGATGTTGGGTTTTGACGTCAACTTGTTTTTCATTTACAAACAAAATGCAATGTCCCTACGTCGTTGGGGTACAATGTCTATCTGACGTCATGTTGACATCCTGTGCCTGCTGGGAATGCAGATTTTTGCTCCTCAAGTAAGTGTGTGTTTATTTAAGAGTATCTAGAGATTTGCACTGCATAATGGCAAAAATATTGTCTTTTTTTTTGCAGCGTAAGCAATGAATGGGGAACATAAACTGGCTGAACAATGACAAAATTCCCAAAGAACCTATGAAAAGAATGTCACATGACCCTGATATAAGTCGTTCTGTGAAAAATAACAATAAATAAAAATAAATCAGTTAAAAAAAATAATAAAAAATCTAAATTCTTATTTAAAATATCTAAATCAAATTTCACCCATATATTCACGCTATTTTTACAATAGTGATTTGAAACATTAAACTAGATATTTTACTTGTATTCAATATACTTCACTTAAATTTTTTTTATTTTATACACACACACACACACACACACACACACACATATATATATATATATATAGGTTAGTTTTAATTAAATGGGGCATGTTGATTTTAACTTTTTTTAAAATGTAAAATTATATATTAGACTCCATATCAGGATTCATATATACAATATATGCAGCATGATTTGAACTCCTCCTTCCTTTCTTGCAGCCCCTGGTAAAGCAGGACAGTTTGGACACTTACAACGAACGGGACCCATTCAAGAATGATGACGCCCGGGATGAAGAGGACGACCCAGAGGATGTGGACAGCGGCATTGAAGGAGAAGTGGATCCTCTGGACAGAGACGTCATTATTCAGCCTCCTCCGCCTCCTCCACCACTGCGGCCCCCGACTGAGAGAATGTCCTTCCCCAAGGGCCTGCCATGGGCCCCCAAAGTCAGGTACCATACAGGATCATTGCATCAAGAATGATCATAAAATAAGCTATTTGGACTTCAGTCTCCTATACAAACCACTATTATTAGACCTTATTATTCACATTCGAGCGTGTGCAGCCATTGTAATCTTTTTGGCTCAGAACTTCCAGTCTCATTTACTTCAATTAATTTATTGGTGTTAAAAAAGCTTGTTTTGCTGCTTCGTGTTGCGAACTGATCTTTTATCATTTTATTATTCTACTTTTTATAGTATAACCATGAACACATTTGTTTGGAGAGCATGTTGTTTGACCGTTTTCTGCCTTTTATTACATGGTGCCTCAGTGGTTATCATTGTCACCTCACAGCAAGAAGGTCGCTGGTTCAAGTTCTGGCTGGGCCAGTTGGCATTTCTGTGTGGAGTTTGCATGTTCTCCCCGGGGTTTCCTCTGGGTACTCTGGTTTCCCCCACAGTCTGAAAACATGCACTATAGGTCAATTGAATAAGCTAAATTGGCCGTAGTGCATGTGTGTGAATGTGAGAGTGTATGAGTATTTTCCAGTGCTGGGGTTGAAGCTGGAAGGGCATCAGCTGTGTGAAACATATGCAGTAATAGATGGTGGTAAAGATCTGCACGGGACTAAATTTTGAATCCCCCTCCCGCCAGGTTTTAGCCCGAACCCAAATTCAGCATTTGTTGTCCCACTGCCTGACCCCCACCATTTTCTACCCCCCGCGCCCGTTCCCGCTAACGAGCGGGGGGGAGAACAGAACCGAAAACCACCCAGTTATACAGAGTCCAGATAGCCTATATCAAGCTGTCTGTATAAATACACACACACATAGCACCAAGCAAGTGACACACACACAGACACCCTCACGCTCTCTCTCATTCACACACACACACACAGACAGCACAAAGCTCTCTCTCATTCGCACACACACACACATAGACGGCAACAAATAAGCTAAATTTACACACGCATGCTCGTTCGCTCGAGAGTCGGAAGCAATATTGTTAGACCGCCCTCTCCCGTCCAAAATTACACCAGTTACTGATCGCTCCCGCACTTTATTCTGAAATTTATTCCCGCGCCGCAAGAAATCCGGTCGGGTCCCACGGAATCCAGACCTCTAGATGGTGGTTCATTCCCTAATAAATAAGGGACTAAGCCGAAGGAAAATAAATGAATAAATGTTCTGACCTCAATTGTTCACGTTTGTTTACTTTGCATATTAGAATCTATTGTTGTTGACTACAGTGGGTTATCGATTTCCTTCTTCCTGCAGAGAGAAAGACATCGAGCACTTTCTGGAGACCAGCAGAAACAAATTCATCGGCTTCACCTTGGGAAAGTGAGTCTCTGATCAATTCTCCCAGGCCACTAAGCTTATGAATCCATGATAAACTATTATAAAGGTCTCCTTCATCATCATTAAATCAATATACAGTTTTCTTTCTGATCTTATTTCAGTGACATCGACACTCTGGTTGGGTTGCCCAGACCTATACACGAGAGTGTCAAGACTCTGAAACTGGTGAGCATGGAAATACTTTTATTTTTTTATATTTTCGTATTTTACTAAACGTCAGAGGTTTATCCATGGCACATCATTATTAGTAGGAAACTCTACTGAAATAAATGAGGTGGTGATGTAAAATTGATGAACTCATGAATGCACTGTGAAGACATCACTGATGCGACATCAAACGACAGAGATAGCATTTGTTGTGAATGCTGCTATTATACATGTGTGTTTTTTGAAAGAAATGAATGTTTATGTTCATGAAGAACGCATTTGAGTGGATGGAAAGTGACAGAGGAGGCATTCGTGATGTAGATTTGTTGAAGTCAGAATTATTAGGCAAGTTAGGGTAATTATGCAAGTCTTTGTATGATGATGGTTTGTTCAGTAGACAATTGAAAAGAAAATATTGCAGAAGGGGACTTATAATATTGAGCTTAAAATGGTTTAAACAAAGTATAAAACTGCTTTTATTCTAGCCGAAATAAAACAAATAGGATTTTTTTCCAGAAGAAAAAAATATTATAGGAAGTACTGTGAAAAAAATCCTTGCTCTATTAAACAGCATCTGGGAAATATTTTTAAAAGAAAATTCACAGACGGGCAAATAATTCTGACTTCAACTGTGCATAATTCAGTTATTGTGAACATGCCTGAATAGTTATTGCTGAACTAAGAGTGAGTTATTGATGAAAACATTAATATACCATTTAATAAATGGATTAAATGAATAGGATTTGCCAGCTGTTCTGCCACCGATATATGCACGGTCTTGAATCCAGTGATTTAATGCATGCTCCACTGTGGCTCTTTCCGCCAATCATAGTTTAGATATGTGTCCTTGGTCACCATGGCAATTCTCTCTTTTGTCTCTGAAGCACAAGTATGTCTCTATAGCGGAGGTCCAGATCAAGAGAGAGGACGAGCTCCAGCAGTGCCCCATGACTATGGTAAGTGCCTTAGACACGTCATACTTTTTATGCATTTCTTACTGTTCCATTAAGCTGTCAATCAGAAGCAACTCTTTTAATTGGCCAGGGGGAGGAAGAGGTGGAAGAAACACCCACAGAGATTCTGTATTTGGGGATGTTGCCCAGCCTCTCTCAGTATGTAGTAAGTGACCACTATAATTATTTGATTTGATGAAGTTTATGCTGTCAGATGAATGTCAAAATAGCTTATATTTTCTGATAAAGAAATTGTACAAAAGGGGAAATATGTATATTTTGAATGCGTTGGTCAATATTCTACTCTTTGGCTCAATGCAGTTGAAGTCAGAATTATTAGACCCCCTGAATTATTAACCCCCTGTTTATTTTTTTCCTCCAATTTCAGTTTAACGGAAAGAAGATTTTCTTCAACACATTTCTAAACATAATAGTTTTAATAACTCATTTCTAATGACTGATTTATTTTATCTTTGCCATGATGATAATATTTGACTAGATATTTTTCAAGACACTTCTACACAGCTTAAAGTGACATTTAAAGTCTTAACTAGGTTAATTAGGTTAACTAGGCAGGTTAGGGAAATAAGGCAAGTTATTGTATGATGATGGTTTGTTTTGTAGACTTTTGAAAAAAAATTGCTTTAAGGGGCTCATAATTTTGTCCTTAAAATGGTGTTTAAAAAATTTAAAACCGCCTTTATTCTAGCCAAAATAAAGCAAATAAGACTTACTCCAGAAGAAAAAATATTATCAAACATACTGTGAAAATTTCCTTGCTCTGCTCTATCGAAAATCTATATTCTGCCTTTTGACAGCAAATCCCCTCCAAAATGTTTTATTTGCATATTTAAATAATGTAGCAGACTTTTATTCATTCATTCATTTTCTTTTCGCCTTAGTCCCTTTATTATTCTGGGGTTGCCACTGTGGAACGAACCACCAACCCATCCAGCACATATTTTTACGCAGTCGATGCCCTTCCAGCTGCAACCCATCTCTGGGAAACATCCATACACACTCATTCACACCCATACACTACGGACAATTTAACCAACCCAATTCACCTGTACTTTATTAGCATTTTTGGCCTTTTTTTGTGTGTAATGTTTATGGTCAGTGTTGGGAAAAGTTACTTTTTTAATGTAGTGCATTACAATATTGAGTTGCTCCCCCCCAAAAAAAAGTATCTAATTGCATTACTTCTTATGGTAAGTACTAGGCATGGGACGATAACCGTTTTTCTATGAAAAAGTCAAGGTTTTAAAACCGTCAAAATTTTCTGCTAAAACGTTCCTAAGGTATGTGTACAATTTTGTATTTACTTTTTTTTTAGGACAATAGTATCTTCAGCAAAAGAGATATCCAAAGAAGCCATTTTAAATAGTAAAGAAAATCTGTGATTTTAAAATACATGAAGACAGCAAAAGTCAATAAATAATTTAGCCTGGCATGTTTACTGTTCCAAAATATTATAAATGTTCCTTAAAATAAAGTATATTGTGTTTAAAAGGGAAAAATGTTTTGTTTTTTTTACCCAGACATTTAAAAAGATTATATTATTGAGCAGTAATCACAATACTGTGATATTTTTATCCAAGGTTATCATAACGTCGAATCATAAACCGGCCTATGCCTAATAAGTACCACACCTGGGTGTAAATAAATTAGAGGAGCTCTGCAATTAACAACACACTTTATACTTTGCTACTTTTGTTCTTTTTTTGCCTTATTATTTTAGTTCAATCAAAGTCCATAAGAGACAATCCCCATGTCCTTTTCTTCAATGCGTTCAAAATAATGCAAAAACCTCCATCAAAGAAATCTAAGGCTCTGCCATTTTTATTTATGTCTGATTCAGCGTAACCAGGTTTTTAAAATCTAATTAATTTAATTTAATTTCTTTTTTTATTTAAGTGAAGTTTAATTTTAAACTAATTTCGAGAGGACCATGTGCTCATGATTGACCCAGCTGGTCCACATTAGCTAATCATGATCTTCCAATCAAAGGATCCCAAGTCTTTATATATATATCCTCATTTCCTTTCTACAACTATCTTCATCTGAAAAAAACTTCCCTCTTCCCCTTCTTCCACCTTTATCCAGAATGGGTGGCACGATGGCCCAATGACTAGCACTGTTGCCTCACAGCAAGAATACCAATGGCGTTGGGTCCTTGCTGACCCATCTGGTATTTCTGTGAGGAGTTTGCTTGTTTACCCCGTGTCCGCCTGGGTTTCCCCCGGGTTCCCTGGTTTCCTCCCACCATCCAAATGTGCTTTATAATATAGAAAAAATAAACCTAAATGTTTTACTCTCAGGAAGTTCGCCTTGGCCTCAGCAGCAAGGGAGTTTGAGCTAGACCTGAACTCAATCTCCCCTCGCCCTGCGAAAGGGGGGAGCCCTGGGCTCGAGGATCCCTTGATCTGAAGTGTAAAATCTTGAATTATTTGTTTTTACAAAGCTAATTAATTAAACTAAAAAGTAAGTTGCATTATATTTGTAAAAAAAAAAAACTCAAATAATATTACCTTAATTTATTTACGTAATGCATTACTTGTTACTTGGAAAATTAACATTATTATGTCACTATTTTGTCACATTACTCGTAATACATCACCCCCAACACTGTTCATGAGGATATCAGAATCTTCTTGAAATAAGACATCAGGACTGAAGAGAGAGAAAAAAGACTCCTGTTTTGAATAATGCATTATATTTAATAACGGTGCAGTAGATAATGCATGCATCCCTTCATACAATCCTAGTAACCTAGTTATTCTCTTTGTAGATTGCACTTTTGAAGCTGCTTCTGGCTGCGGCTCCAACCTCCAAAGCAAAGACAGATTCGATCAACATCCTGGCCGATGTTCTACCAGAGGAGATGCCGTAAGTCTGTGTGTTTGTACAGCCGAGCATGAAAAGAGCAGCGTGGTTTGATTTAGACACACAGCAAACGTTCCCAGTGTTTGTGTTTGGAAACAGAATCACCGTCCTCCAGAGCATGAAGCTGGGCATTGATGTCAACAGACACAAGGAGATCATCGTCAAAGCCATTTCAGCTCTCCTGCTACTGCTGCTCAAACACTTCAAACTCAACCACATATACCAGGTCAGACTTTTTTTATTTGCCCTTCCTTGTGTCTCTGAAGCAAAAGTAACCCTGCGTTTTGCTAAAAAGGCTCACTGTCAATGCGCTATTCATTTCAAGGCTAAAAAGGGGTTTGGCCAAGCACTTAAAGGGATAGTTCACCCAAAAATTACTACTCTTTCATCATTTACTCACAATTCAAATAAAATTTGTCCATTACATGTTTTTGCAAGCCAACAAATTGATCATACATAAAAAAGGTAACACTTTAGAATAATGGTCCGGTATTTACTAACAATAACTAAGTATAAGTAATTTTGTAAAGCATTTAATAATGATAGTTTAACATGAACTGATGCATTATTAAGATGCTAAATTGTGTAGTTAAGGTGGCTTGATACCGTTCATATTACAACCACCAAACTAACACCAAACCTCCAAACTGCTCCGACTCGGGTTGCTATATTTTTTCCAACTGATCCGACTTACGGTTTTCCAAAAACTGACCTGGAAAACTCTGAAAAATCCCATTGACTTAACATTGGACCAAACTTTGTGACCTCATAACTTTGCATCAGACTGCCATACAGACTTAATGTTGTGCTCATTTAACTCAGACTACCAATCTGCTAATCACTAATGACGTTTAAACTTTTTAGCCACACCCTAGCAACCACTTACGGTACCCTAGCCAACTTTTCAGATTAGTCCCTTTATTAATCTGGGGTCGCCACAGCGGAATGAACCGCCAACTTATCCAGCATTTGTTTTATGCAGCGGATGCCCTTCCAGCTGCAACCCATCACTGGGAAACCCATACACAGTCATTCGCACACATACATAAACTATGGACAATTTTGGCTCACCCAATTCACCTGTACCGCATGTCTTTGGACTTGTGAGGGAAACCGGAGCACCCGGAGGAAACCCACGTGAACACAGGGAAAACATGCAAACTCCACACAGAAATGCCAGCTGACCCGGCCGAGGCTCAAACCAGTGCTATGAGGCGACAGCACTACCTACTGCGCCACCGCGTTGCCCCAGTAAACAACATTTTTAATAATATCTTCTTTTGTGTTCAACAAAAGACAGAATCTCATATTCAAGAGTTCACACTTGGCTGATGATTGATAATAAAGCATGTTTGGCATGCTGTCCCGGGAAAGAGCCCTGAGCTCATGAGATCTTCGAAACTGGGGCTTCCTCCTGTTTGCAGGAAGAGAGGGGAGTTTGAGCTCGGGTAGATCTCGATGAACTCCCCTGACTTATTTCTGGCTAATAGAAAGGCTAAGAAGAGATGTAAACTTGCTAAGAGCTTGGCTATTGTACTGATTTGGTATCTTCAATTTACTTGGGTTCTGTGTTTTTGCACTCTGGGAGGAAACCAGAGAACCTGTGGAAAACCCACGCGAGCACAAGGAGAACGCGCACTGTAACTCCACACAGAAATGTCAACTGGTTTAGTAGGAACTTTAACCACAGAGAGGGTGGGGAGTGGGGGTTTTTCTTCAAGACAAAGAGACTGAAATAAGAAAACTTTGGTTATTTATTGTGAGTTAGAAATTATCTGATTGGTGAATCAATCGTGAGCGGGACCAGCTGAGAGCAATCATAAGCACGTGATCCTCTCAAAATTAGTTCATAAAAAACTTCACAAAGTCTTAAAACCACATGAGGGAAAGTAAATGATGTTCATTTTTAGCTGAGCTAAATTAATCTGAACTTTTAAACGAAAAAAAGTCTCTAAATTCATTAAAATGAAAGCCAAATGTGCCATATTCAGAGTCTGTGTTCCTCGGCTGGATCGGTCAAACCCACTCATGCACTGAACCAGATTTTTCCAGTTTAATCCCATCTATATCGTGAAGATTTACGGAGGGGGTTGTTTTTACTTCTTTGTTACTTCGATTGCTGTTTGATGAGCTGAAACGTCACAATTCTTGAGTAGTTTTTTTGGGACTACTTAATTGTGTTATATTCAATCCACTTGAATTGGATAAGACTAATAAGTTAACTAATAAATTAATTTCTTGATGTTGTCCCAACAAATTGATTGTGTGAAACCAAGCATTTTTTTACAGTGTAGCAAAAATGTGTGTTTTTGGAAATAATTACTGATTTATAGTGGGACAAAACTTATAATTAAACAAAATTGACTCACACAAAACAGCTTTGCAAATTAGTGGTAAATACGCAAGCAAATGTCTAATTTGCTTATGTAAAAACATTTGACCAAACTCGTAATACTTAAAATGTTTTCAATTCATCATCATCTTGTCTCAGTTCTTGAGAAATCTGAAAATTTCTCTCCTCATACATCTAAAAATATTAGCCGAGGTCGAGAACCAAATGTTCCAATGCATGATGTGCTTCATCTTGTCAGCACAGCTCAGATTAATCCTGCATGATGAGCGTCACAAATTATGAAAAAAGATTATAAACGCCGTCCTCTACTGGTGGAGAATGGCAGTGGTGATTATTATAGCATTTATTTATGTCGTTCCTGTTCACCCTTTCTCCTCATGCTCATCCTGCAGAGCTCTGAATTCATACAGCGCTTATAATCAGTCAAAGCAAGCCTGTATTCCTTCCTTCCACTCCATCTCCGTTTCAGTTACTCAATCACTCACTTTAAACAACAAGAACGGACGTCAGCATTGCTGATCTGCTGACATTTCCCGCTGAGCTGACGTACAGTTAATTCTGGGCGCATCTTTGACAGAGTTTGCTCATTATCGTGATAAATAGAGTAGCAAATCACCCTTTGGTTTGCAGCAGAGAGAAATGAATGTCTTACTAGTGAAAGCCTAATGAAAGCTCCTGCTCTTCAGAGATAGACGGAAGTTGGCAGTTAATTATAGATATTATGGGCAAAACTGACTTCATCTACAGCAATGGATTTAAAGGGTCATTCCTTTTTATTTTAACATTTAATTGAACACTTTTTTTTTTTTTTGGAAATAGGCTCATTTTACAAGTGCCCCAGAGTTAAATAGTTGATTTATACTATTCTTATTAATCCATACAGCTAATTTTCAAATCTGCCTGCAGCACTTTTAGCTTAGCTTAGCATAAGTCATTGCATCAGATTAGACCATTAGCATCTCACTTAAAAAAAATAGGTCCTATTTAAAGCTTGACCATTCTGTAGTTACATCTTGTACTAAGGGTGCTTTCACACCTGTGAATCGATTCAGTTGTTCCGAAACAGAGATTACAATTGTTACATTGTTGCTCTTTGCTCTTGGAGCGGTTCGCTTTCACACTGCAAAGTTTCTAATCGGAACAAAGAGCTAAAACAAGTCACATGCGAGTAAACTCTCTTCACATTGGTCAGAGTGTCAGGGTTTATTTTGCAGCGTCCCGCTCCGCTGTCAGGAGAGGTGGTGGTTTGACGGTGAATGACATGGTAAGCGCGCTACGTGTCTGAGGAGAGACGCGGTGGGGAGGCGTGAGAAGGGTGCACGATGATGCCTATTTGAGGACCGGGAGGGAGACGCGAGATTACCGGGAGATCATCACTCGTTTGCGGGCAACCGAAGACTCGCGAAACTTCCCGCCATACTCATAATTCTCTCTTCATATAGCCGTAAGCCTATTACATATCCATAAAACACTGTGATATAACCGCGCTCGGATCGCTTTCTCACTGCAATCGAACCACTCCAGGGTTTGTTTTAATCGAGCCGAGACCACCTCATTCAAGCGATCTTGGAGCGATTACTTTGACGCGATTGCCCTGTTCACATATGCCAAACGAACCGAGCTAACTGGGCAAACGAGATATGTTCCGAAACAAAAGTGTAGGTGTAAAAGCACCCTAAGACTAAGGATGCTTCCACATCTAGACTTTTGTTTCGGAACCTGTCTTGTTTGCTTAGTTAGAGTGGATAGTTTGGCATAAGTGAATCCAACAATCGCACTCGGATCGCACCAAATCAAACAAACGTATGAACAACGGGTACAAGATTGAATGATGGTCGTCATCCGGAGGGGTAAGGGAAATCCAGGAGCTCCACTCCCTGCAACCGTTGCACCACAAATAAGCTCCCCGAACCCTGCCGGAAGTTCCTTTTTATAGCAGCCAATCAGAGCATGAAAATGAGTAGTGGTTTGAATCCAGAAATAGCATGTCACATCATGAATTAACAAGATGCTAATGGTATAATGCAGTTCAATGATTTATGCTAAGCTAAGCTAAGCTAAAAGAGTTCCAGTCAGACCCGTAGATCAGCTGAATGGATTCAAAACTGGTTAAACTGGACTGTTAAACTCTATGGAAGTTGTAAAGTGAGCCTAATTCCAAAAACAAAGTTAGGTGTTTCTTTAATCTAGTGCATTATATACACTGATGTACTGATATATTTTGATATATTTTTCCCCTTGATCTGTACAGTTTGAATATGTGGCTCAGCATCTGGTGTTTGCCAACTGCATCCCTCTCATCCTCAAATTCTTCAACCAGAACATCATGTCTTACATCAGTGCCAAAAACAGGTAGACATTTCAATCTATGCTTCCTCAATTCAACTTGCGCATCGGAAAGTCTTTAAACCATGTATTGTTTTGTTTCCTCTTCTGATGGCAGCATTTGTGCACTTGATTTCCCACACTGTGCGGTTCACGAAATGCCTGAGCTCACCGCTGAAAGTCTGGTAATTATACAATACACCACTTTTCCTTTGTCAAGTTCTTTACTAAATCTCAAGACTCATTTCATGTGTGAAGTAAGAGGCTGAAGAGGTATAAAAAGATAGAAGTTGTATTTTTTAAATGCTTTTTTAAGATACTGATTGTATGTTTGTGTGTGTAAATAGGAAGCTGGTGACAGTAATCAGTTTTGCTGGCGTAATCTGTTCTCCTGCATCAACTTGCTGAGAATCCTGAATAAAATCACCAAGTGGAAACACTCAAGAACTATGGTGAGACAAAGAAAATGACCACATTTAATATTCTCTATATGAATAATTCAGTGCGGCACGGTGGCTAAGGGCTTCACAGCAAGAAGGTCACTGGTTCGAGTCCTGACTGGGCCAAATTGTGTTTCTGTGTGGAGTTCTCACAGTATGGGTGTGGGTTTCCTCCAGGTGCTCCGGTTTCCCCCACAGTCCAAAGACATGCGCTATAGGTGAATTGGATGAACTAAATTGGTCGTAGTGTATGAGTTTGTGTGTGAATGTGAGAGTACATGGGTGTTTCCCAAGGCTGGATTGCAGCTGGAAGGGAATCCGCTGTGTAAAACATATGGCGGAATAGTTGTAGGTTTATTCCGCTTTGGCAACCTCTAATAAATCAGAGGACAATGGAAAATGAATCGAATAATTGTCAAAAATGTCATTTGTTGATGTATTTTTTTTATTAATTTGCTTTCATTTTTATTACTATTAAACACTCTTCAACATATTGCATCATATAATAGATCCACTATCGTACAAGAGACAGAATACATATAAATGGCGATATACGTGAAAAAAATATCTAATGGAATAAATCAGTAGCATCTATAATTGTATGATGCAATCTGTTCATGTAGAGAAAATAAAGGGAAAGAAAAGTTCTTAAATTTGATCATACAATAACTTCAAAATTTATTTAGAGCTATTTATGTATGAATGATTACATGTATAAGATTAAATGCGCCTTACATATTTTTATAAACACAATTTGACACTGTTAAAAGGATTGAATAAAGAGAATTAAATAGAAATGATCTTGCATGTATTTGACATTATATTGTATTACTGCAGATTGACTGTGTACACTTTACACCTGAACTGTCTACTCTACTCATACCTCAGAGGGATAGTTCACTTATAACATTTTGAGTTTTATATTCTGATGAACACTGAACAAGATATTTTCGAGAAAGCTGGAAACCTGTAACTATTGACTTTCATTCATTCATTCATTCATTTTCTTGTCGGCTTAGTCCCTTTATTAATCCGGGGTCACCACAGCGGGATGAACCGCCAACTTATCCAGCACGTTTTAACGCAGCAGATGCCCTTCCAGCCACAACCCATCTCTGGGAAACATCCACACACACTCATTCACACTCATACACTACGGACAATTTAGCCTACCCAATGCACCTGTACCGCATGTCTTTGGACTGTGGGGGAACCTGGAGCACCTGGAGGAAACCCAGGCAAATGCAGGGAGAACGTGCAAACTCCACACAGAAATGCCAACTGACCCAGCCAAGGCTCGAACCAGTGACCTTCTTGCTGTGAGGCAAAAGCACTGCCTACTGCGCCACTGCGTCGCCCTATTGACTTTCATAGTAGACAAAAAAACACACAATAGAAGTCAATGGTTACAGTTTTCTAGCTTTCTTCAAAATATAAAAAGAAAGAAACTCAAACTGGACCAATGAAAGGATGAGTAAACAATGACAGCATGTTCAGTTCTGGGTTTATTATCGCTTTAACGTTTTCTGATTGATGTTAGTATAGTAATGTACACCTTTTTTTTAATGCTGCTTTGAAACCGCAGTTGTGAGAGTGCTGTACAAATAAATAAGAACTGAATTGATTTATTTCGTTTGCAGATGCTTGTGGTGTTCAAGTCTGCTCCTATCCTGAAAAGGGCGCTCAAGGTCAAACAGGCCATGATGCAGCTCTATGTCCTCAAACTACTCAAGATCCAGACCAAGTATTTGGGACGACAGTGGAGAAAGAGTAACATGAAAACCATGTCTGCCATCTACCAGAAAGTCAGACATCGACTCAATGACGACTGGGCATATGGAAACGGTAAAAGTCTGAGTTTTGTCTTGTCAGGGGTGTTGAGGAAAACACTTTAAGTTGGTATTAAACAAAAGTTGCTGTATTTTTCGATCTTGGTTTGAGCCCAGAATTTTTATTTCCATGCATCTGTATTTGAACATTTCTAAATGTTTCTTTGATTAAGCTAAAGTTATTCTGATTATTCCTGTACACAATGCATTCTTTCAAATAATTCTACATTCCTCCTACCAGATATTGACGCTCGACCATGGGACTTCCAGGCGGAGGAGTGTGCGTTACGCGAGAGCATCGAGAAATTCAACACACGGCGCTATGATAAGAATCAGAACAGTGAGTTTGCACCAGTGGACAATTGCCTTCAAAGTGTTTTAGGTCAGCGCGTGGACCTGCCCGAAGACTTCCATTACAGCTACGAGATGTGGCTCGAAAGAGAGGTTTTCTCCCAGCCCATTCAGTGGGAAGGTCTGCTGCAGGCCCAGTGATAGCAGTGATCATTATTATAAGACTTTCTTATTTAACCGACACAATTACTGTGGCTCACGATCGACACACAAACACTCGAAGCAATGAGGATCTGGCATTCCTGTTCTGTTATGAAATCTTGTACATAAAGATATATGTGTGTATGTGTGTGAATATAAGATGGTAATCTTCCTTTGGCAAATCTGAGAAGAGAGCATCTGGTACTTTGGGCAAACACAAATAGAATATATATATATATATATATATATATATATGAGAGAGAGATGGAAGGATGATATGGTCTTTTTCAATAACTGAAGCACAATTTAGGTACAATAACTGCACAAATACAGTATTCTAATGCATATATATATACTTCAGATTTATTTATATGGTCTCTCGCCGTGTCTGACTGTGGAAATGTTGAAACTTTATGTACATATGAAGACTTTATGAGGCAGGGTCTCTTTCAGAAAGCTGTCTTTGACGTGTTGACAGGTTTTTTATTCATTTTTTTTTCTGTAGCAGCAGGAGTGTGTGTGTGTGTGTGTTCTTGAGAAAGCAGTGAGTCATCTCTTTTTGTCCCCATGAAGCTCTGCACATCACACACACACACACACACACCCCAGAGCAGCACAATACACACACATTCAAAGTGTCCTTGGTGACTTTACCGTCACCCACACTAAACATGTCGCTCACTGAATGGTGCTGGTTTTTAACACTCGATTTGATGTTCTTGTTATTGAGACACATTGTGTTCTGAGATTATTAGACAAGGTCTTGTGAAGCTGACGCTGTGAACCAGTGTCTTTTTTATATGCAGCTATGGAAAAACTTGATTTACTGGGTTTATCAGGTGTGGGTTTGAGCAAAGTGTTTATATTTGTTTTATTCTATCAAGGTCTGATAACTTTTCTTCATAATATATACATCGTCAAAGTGAAGTATTCTTATATGGAGCATTAGTTTATGTTCAGAAAATGTTGGTTGGTCGGAAAAACAATTGTAGCAATTGGGTGTTTCCCAATGATGGGTTGCGGCTGGAAGGGCATCTGTTGCGTAAAACATGTGCTGGATAAGTTGGTGGTTCATTCCACTGTGGCGACCCCAGATTAATAAAGGGACTAAGCCGAATGAGAAAAGAAAATGAAGCAACGAATGAATAAAAAATCAGCGTTATAAATAATGATTTTTTTTTGCCATCGTTTGACTGTAGTAAAAAACAATGTTGTGTTGTCTAAAAATGAGCATAAACACCTGTAAATGGCACAGTTTTATTATTTTATGCAAACAAAATGAATCATTAGTTCACATTTTACTCAAACAGAACCATGTTGTGTTGCTTTTCTGTTGCTTAACTTAACAAAAAAAGTGTGCCATGTTTTCAGACATGTTTATAATCATTTAATTATATTAATATACTGAATATAATTATTAGACACATTTGAGCTTTTTATTTTCAAAAGAAGTGTTATCACACCTAGAGTCAAACAAAAAAAAATCCATCTTAAACACATACATGTAAATCCAGAGTAATTGATTATTTTTAATTGGTCTCTTAGTTTTTTTTTTTTTCCATAGCAGTATATATAGACTTTATATACACTTCACTGTTCATCATGTTTGTTTTTACAGGGTTGCTCACTGTATCATTTATTATTTTTTATATATTGTCATTGTTTTGTACTAAATTAAGGTGCTGTGTAAATGAAACTACCTATGATGATCCATGCCAAATGCAGCACCACCACATTTTTATATGCACACTGATTTGTTGTATTTGTACTGCATTGTATGTGAATGTGACAAATTGATGTAAGAGTCTTTAATAAATTAATAAATTATGAGGAGAGTTAATAATCAAAACCTTGAGTGACAGATCTGTTCTGTGTGAGATTGTTTTGAGAATCTGTTAAAAGCAAAAAAAGTTTTCGCATTTATTGGATGGAATTTGCAGTGGTGAAGTTTACATAATTAAGACTCAATTTGCAGATGTGTAATTCACAAAAATCACCACTGGAGGGCGCAACATTAAAATCGGCTTTATTTTCAGATGTGTAATTCACAAAAATCACCACAGGAGAGCACAACAATAAAATCGGCTTTATTTTCTGATGTGTAAATCACAAAATAACCACAGGAGGGCGCAACAATAAAATCGGCTTCATTTTCTGATGTGTAAATCACAAAATAACCACAGGAGGGTGCAACATTAAAATTTGTTTTATTTGAAGATGTGTAATTCACAAAAATCACCACAGGAGGGCGCAACATTAAAATTGGCTTTATTTTCAGATGTGTAATTCACAAAAATCACCACAGGAGGGCGCAACATTAAAATTGGCTTTATTTTCAGATGTGTAATTCACAAAAATCACCACAGGAGGGCACAACATTAAAATTGGCTTTATTTTCAGATGTGTAATTCAGAAAATCACCACAGGAGGGCGCAACATTAATATTGGTTTTATTTGAAGATGTGTAATTCACAAAAATCACCACAGGAGGGCACAACATTAAAATCGGCTTTATTTTCAGATGTTTAATTCAGAAAATCGCCACAGGAGGGCACAACATTAAAATCGGCTTTATTTTCAGATGTTTAATTCAGAAAATCACCACAGGAGGGCGCAACATTAAAATCGGTTTTATTTTCAGATGTGTAATTCACAAAAATCACCACAGGAGGGCACAACATTAAAATCGGCTTCATTTTCAGATGTTTAATTCAGAAAATCGCCACAGGAGGGCGCAACATTAAAATTGGCTTTATTTTCAGATGTGTAATTCAGAAAATCACCACAGGAGGGTGCAACATTAAAATCGGCTTTATTTTCAGACGTGTAATTCACAAAAATCACCACAGGAGGGCACAAAATGAAAATCAGACTCAATTTGAAGATATGTAATTCTGAAAAACCACCACAGGAGGGCGCAACATTAAAATCGGCTTTATTTGAAGATGTGTAAATCACAAAATAACCACAGGAGGGCGCAACATTAATATCGGCTTTATTTGAAGATGTGTAATTCAGAAAATCACCACAGGATGGCGCAACATTAAAATCGGCTTTATTTGAAGATGTGTAATTCACTGAAATCACCAAAGGAGGGCGCAACATTAAAATTGGCTTTATTTTCAGATGTGTAATTCACAAAAATCACCACAGGAGGGCACAACATTAAAATTGGCTTTATTTTCAGATGTGTAATTCAGAAAATCACCACAGGAGGGCGCAACATTAATATTGGTTTTATTTGAAGATGTGTAATTCACAAAAATCACCACAGGAGGGCACAACATTAAAATCGGCTTTATTTTCAGATGTTTAATTCAGAAAATCGCCACAGGAGGGCACAACATTAAAATCGGCTTTATTTTCAGATGTTTAATTCAGAAAATCACCACAGGAGGGCGCAACATTAAAATTGGTTTTATTTTCAGATGTGTAATTCACAAAAATCACCACAGGAGGGCACAACATTAAAATCGGCTTCATTTTCAGATGTTTAATTCAGAAAATCGCCACAGGAGGGCGCAACATTAAAATTGGCTTTATTTTCAGATGTGTAATTCAGAAAATCACCACAGGAGGGCACAACATTAAAATCGGCTTTATTTTCAGATGTGTAATTCAGAAAATCACCACAGGAGGGTGCAACATTAAAATCGGCTTTATTTTCAGACGTGTAATTCACAAAAATCACCACAGGAGGGCACAAAATGAAAATCAGACTCAATTTGAAGATATGTAATTCTGAAAAACCACCACAGGAGGGCGCAACATTAAAATCGGCTTTATTTGAAGATGTGTAAATCACAAAATAACCACAGGAGGGCGCAACATTAATATCGGCTTTATTTGAAGATGTGTAATTCACTGAAATCACCACAGGATGGCGCAACATTAAAATCGGCTTTATTTGAAGATGTGTAATTCACTGAAATCACCAAAGGAGGGCTCAACTTTAAAATCTGACTCAATTTTCAGATGTGTAATTCAGAAAATCACCACAGGAGGGCATTGTTAAAATCGTTCATGCGTGCCGTTTTCCCTCCGCTCCACCAGGCGGCGAGAGCCGGTTTCACCTCCAGTCTGACACCTTTCAGTGATTGACCACCTGGTGACGCTTGATGACGACAACCACAACAACACACGCAGATGCTGCAGATGACAGATATTAATGTTTACACTTTAAACACAAATATTACCAGCTAATCTGCGAATTAAACCGACACACAACCCGTTACAATGGAGGACTCGAGCTTGTCACGCGACTCAGCCGACAGTAAGTGGATTTCCTCATGTACAGCAGATGTGTTGATAGTTGTTGCGGTGCATTTACAGTCTGTCAGTGTTTAATCCACTGATATTCACATCATCAAGAGTAAGATGTGTGTCTGTGTTGATCCTGCAGTCGTTGTGTGAAGCTCTGGTGTTTATTTCTGCTGTTAATTCTTCTAGTGCTGAACACTGTAGTGAGAGTAAATGACAGGATTATTTAAAGTGTCCAGATATGAAACACATGAGATGAAGGACACTTTGCTGATGTTAGTGACTGCTGTTCATTCCGTTTCATTGTTGCTGTAAACTAGTGATGATGTTCAGAGATCTGTCATTATTTTAATCAGGCTTTTTTATTCAGTGTTGCTGTTTTGTGCTGTAAAACTGTATTTAACACCAAAGTGAACAGTAAAACACTGATGCAGCATCACTGAAGTATAACAGAGTCTGCTGTATTTTATCAATATCAAACTTTAATATTCAATTTAATCATTGTAAATCCTGAAATTCAGTTTGAGTTTGAAATTGAGTTGTTGTCTCTGTAATCTCTTGTTGTGATGTTTTGTTGGTCTGACAGAATAAGAGTTTTCAGTCTGGGTTTAGTGGACAGAAATTTACTTTAATGATGGAAATCTGCACATGTTGATCACACTTATTAACACACACACAGCAGACAAGCATTAAACACACTTACTGAAGGAGGGAAATAGTGTTTTTGTTTCTGTTCAGTGTTTATATGTCAGTTCTGTGGCCTGTAAGAGTCATTTAATTAAAGCATCATCAGAAGTAAACAGAGAACAACAGTAGATGAATAACAGTGACTGATGGAGCATTACTGCAATATACCATCTCTCTGTCTGATGTTGCATGTTTTATATGAGATATTAACAGAGATATTTCTGAATTATCGTTGACTTTAAGACATGTAGTGAGTCTAGTAATGTCTGAATGTCTCTACAGAATAACTGATTTGTTGTGGAGTGTAAAACAGCTGTGTGTGTGTGTGGACAGACTCTGACAAATCTATTAGATTAGCAAGTGTGTAATGCAGAAATATCTCCACAGGAGGGCGAAAAGCTGAAATGAATTCAGTCAGATTTGCAGTGGTGTAATTCACCAACATCACCACACGAGGGCGAACATTTTAAATTCAGTACATTAATACAGGTGTAATTCAGAAATATCTCCACAGGAGGGCGCAATATTTCATACATCTGTAATATTTGTATATTTGTCTATTGTTAGCTCAGATATTCAGTGTGTGTAATAATGTGTGTATTTGTGTGTCGACTCTACAGGATCAGTGGCGTGTTGTGGACTGTAAGCCTGTTGAACAGAAGCAGAGACGTGTGGACAGACACTGACTGTACTGATGATGATCATCTGCTGCTGCACAGGTGATGTAGATCATGTGTGTGATTGTGTGTGTGTTTGTCTTGCACATGTCGGTTACCATCATTTGCTTTGTGGAGGGTCACTCCTCTAGAAAGTAAATGATGGTAACCGAAACGGGTGGGGAAGGGACGCAGGTCCAGAATTTTTATACAGTTTATTTTAAATTTTTTGGCAGGCTGTAAAGTATAACCCCTGCTGGACACGGCTCCGGAAGCTCCAGGGGGAGACCGAACTGGTATCCCCCCTTCTTCAGGCGCGCCTCACACTCACTCACCATTCACACATATCGCAGAGTTCTGGCTGGGACTGATACCAGCAACCCCTGAAGCCGTGGGGCAGCGCTCTTACCACAGAGCCACAGATCTCCTGTCTGAACACCTGCTGGAACTGATGCTTGAGCTGTGTCTTGATCTGAGCTGTGATTGGACAATAAACTAGTTAAAGTTTGCCTGCTCTGGAGTTTGAACCCACATCTCTCCAGCCTCCTCCTTCATGCACAGGTGTTTATCCACTCACACCACTGTGCTCTTCACATTCAGAGAAAGCTTTCAGTCCTCTTTTATTTGATCTCAACAATGTAGAGTCAGCAATAGCAGGATTTGAACTCAGGACTCCAGGATTGAAGCGCAACGCTTCTCGCCTGAGCCACTGAGACTGACATCTGTTTCAGGGTTTATAATGAAGTTCACTAGTTTTTTAGTGAAGATAAAAAATCAGCCAAGCAGTCACACACCTTCAATGTATTTTCGACACAGTAAAGGAGACATTTCTTAATGTTTGTATGTTTTTATTCACAGCACAGATGGAAAGTAAAGGAGTGTGAAGAGAAGACGCGACTCAAACATAGGTGAGACAAATCTCTAAAATGCAGTGATGCTGCTTTTGAATCACTGATTCATTAAACTCTGAATCTTTCATTTGAATCTTTAATTTGATTCTTTAAATTGATTCTTTGATTTGAATCTTTATTTTGACTCTTTGATTGAATCAGTGGTTCAGAGCACACATTTTTCTGCCATCCTGATTTTAGAAAGATGCTCAACAAAATCCTGAGATGTCAGTGTTTCTCCACTAGAGGGCGCTGATGTGATGAATCTACAATATAGTTTAAGCTGATCTTTAAAACAAATGAGCTGAAATATTGAAAAGCATCAATCATCACCACTCGAGTCTCTTTATCTTCACACAGACATTCAGCCTGAGCTAGAAGAGACGTCTAGAAGAACCAGACGGTAAGAGCATCTTACTTTAGCTGATTCTGTCTGACCAAATCAACAAGCTCAGTTTAGATGACAGACATGAATAATCATCAGACATGAATAATCATCAGACATTAATAATCATCAGACATTAATAATCATCAGACATTAATAATCATCAGACATTAATAATCAGCAGACATTAAATCATCAGACATTAATAATCATCAGACATTAATAATCAGCAGACATTAATAATCATCAGACATTAATAATCAGCAGACATTAACAATCATCAGACATTAATAATCAGCAGACATTAATAATCATCAGACATTAATAATCAGCAGACATTAACAATCAGCAGACATTAATAATCAGCAGACATTAATAATCAATAAGTTAGTGACGTGTAAAATCGGGCCTGTCTTAATAGCAACACTTGCTGTCTTTGCTTTGAGCTCTTGTGTTCTTGCTGCTGTTTTCTGTGTTTGATCAAGTGTTCAATATCAGACTGCAGGAGTCGACATGTCTGATGCTCTTACAGGACACGTGTGCTCTGTCTACACTTTACCTGCAGCAGTAGTTTATTATCTGTAAATGAGGTGACAGTAATGAGCTCAATCTGACTGCTCTGACAGTCATAAATGCTGCAATTCTTTATTTTTACTGTCAGGTTATAGATCTTATCAGCATAACTTTAACACTGAAGACTAGAACTAGAACATGATGCCTGATGGGAAACGTTCAGCCTCAGATATCATGTTCAGATGCTTTGATGTGTTCAAGAGCAGACGTGTGTGTATTGAAACAGGCCCGTAATCAGGTGGACATTATAGGTAAAGAGTGTAAAGTCAGGGCTTCATCAGTGAGGATATGATGAAGAACCACCTTCCTCTTCCTCATGGCTTCAGTTCACATGTAAAGCTGTATTTCCAGATCCTGCACATGGCTTCTCTCTTCTTGAAATCCTCAGCATGTTTCAGAGAGCTGCATGAGCTGAACTGAGTCCATCAGAGACGAGAGAGAGACGACATGTGCAGCGTAATGAACAGATATCAGTGTAGATCCATCACCAGAAGACATCTAGTAAAACAAAACAACACATCAAGAGGTTATTTACCAGATGCTGCATCCACTGATTCAGTTCTGAGTGCAGGATCAGAAAGGCTGACGTCCATCATGTGCACTGATCACATAATCAGTCTTCTTCTTATTATTAGTTTCATGTCAGACTGCAAACAACACTAATCAGGTGCATATCGCCACCTACTGTATCGGAGTGTGCAGGAGGATCATGTGCTGGAAATTGACTTTTAAACGTCAGATATTAGTCTTGAGTCATCTCTTTTAAAGTTATTAAATGTGTTATGCCATTTTTGTGTAATTTGTTTATCTTTTCATCTCAGCTGGACTTAAGATTAATATATTACTTTTTAAAATGAACTTTTCCTAGTATATATTTTCTTTCTTTTGTTTAAGCATTATTATCATTATTATATAATCCTATAATATATCCTAAATCCTATAATCTAGCTGTGTATGCTTCAGATATCTCACAACAGCTCCTCTGCAAATGTGTGTCTCCTCAGTGATTGACAGCTAATATAAATCCGCCTCCAGCAATAAACTGACCGTCTGTCTGGAACTCGCAAACACAGACACGCGGAGTGATACAAACTGTGAACAGTGTCAATGTTGTAAACTGACCGTCTGTCTGGAACTCGCAAACACAGACACGCGGAGTGATACAAACTGTGAACAGTGTCAATGTTGTTCGGTCTGAATATTACTCCTCTGAACTCCTGGACTAACTTGTGCAACATAGAGTTTATTTGCTTTATAAATGTGCATGTTTAAACATTTAAAGTGTAAAGAGCCAATTAAGCTTATAATTCTGCTTAAACTAATATAATCTGCGTCACAAACCCAAATCGCTGATCAAACACGACACACATCAGGATGAACTGAGGATGAATTAGCTTTACACACACACTACAGGCAGATCGCCTTGTGTACACACTGAACACGTGCTTAATTCAACAGCATCACTCTTACCCTCTCAGTTGAGTGCACAGAGTTAACCCACGATGTTTTGCGAGTCGAAATCCTGTCAAAATGATGACTTTGTTTACAACTGGATGAGTTTAAAGCTTCAGTCTCCTGTGTGCTGCTGCAGCTCGTGTTGATCCTGAACTGCAGTTCTCCAGCGCTCCACTAGACGGCGTCACGCACTGACAGACACACAGAGACACGCCCCCAGCAGCGACAGAACACATGATGACAGCTGAATCAGCTGGTGTTTACTGCTTAAATAACTGCTCTAAAGATGCAGTCTTCTGTCTTTTAGAGGAGCTGAAGCTTTGCTCGCATCATAAACCTCCAACTTTAATGAGCAGCAGCTGAAACAGAGACGGTTTGAAGGCCAAAACCTGGACTTCAGCAGTGGGTGAGTTTCAGCATTCATTTACTCTTATTGTGTTAATATGATCATGTTTGAGTGCTGTAATGAAGAGCACATCAGTATATTCAGAATTAGAGCTGCACTGAATTAATGATGTTGCTGATCGAGCTGTTTAGGCTGCAGAGAAGTGAAGGTTAGTGTGTGGATGATTAATGATGTTATTATCTTAAAAACTGTTAGATTCTGATTGTAATCATTTATATTTGGACATTTCTGTGTTTATTTCTATATACTGATGTTTAAATCTTATTTTATCGTGTTTTCCTCCTTATTTTCATTATTTTTTTTTATATTTGACATCTAAAAATGTGCTCATGTTAACCAGAAGCTCCTGCATTAGTGTGGCTGGTGATGGTCCAGTGGTCAGAGCACATGGCATGAGCTCTGAACCCTCACAGAGGACCTGAGATCAAACCCCTCCTCAGAGCATGAGGGATCTTTAACATATTTATAATGAAATCGCAGCTCATCTACAGGTAAAGAGTCAAACATGAACTCCTGCAGGTGTTCAGACAAGAGATCTGTGGCTCAGTGGTAAGAGCTCATCAGATCTCATCCATCACAGTTGATCTGTGTTCAAACCCCACTTCAGAAGATTGAGTCAACACAAGTTTATTTTTATTCAATTCTTTATTGTGAATTCACAGGTCAGCAGTCCAACATCAGTTCCAGCAGGTGTTCAGACATGGAGATCTGTGGCTCTGTGGTAAGAGCACTGCCCCACGGCTTCAGGGGTTGCTGGTATCGGTCCCAGCCAGAACTCTGCGATATGTGTGAATGGTGAGTGAGTGTGAGGCGCGCCTGAAGAAGGGGGGATACCAGTTCGGTCTCCCCCTGGAGCTTCCGGAGCCGTGTCCAGCAGGGGTTATACTTTACAGCCTGCCAAAAAATTTAAAATGAACTGTATAAAAATTCTGGACCTGCGTCCCTTCCCCACCCGTTTCGGTTACCATCATTTACTTTCTAGAGGAGTGACCCTCCACAAAGCAAATGATGGTAACCGACATGTGCAAGACAAACACACACAATCATACATGATCTACATCACCTGTGCAGCAGCAGATGATCATCATCAGTACAGTCAGTGTCTGTCCACACGTCTCTGCTTCTGTTCAACAGGCTTACAGTCCACAACACGTCACTGATCCTGTAGAGTCGACACACATTATTACACACTGAATATCTGATCAAACAATAGACAAATATACAAATATTACATACGTAGGAAATATTGCGCCCTCTTGTGGAGATTTCTCTGAACTACACTTTTGCGAATCTTGAATTTACTGAATTTAAAATATTCGCCCTCTTGTGGGGGTTTTGTGGACTGCACTGCTGCTGTTTTAAAATGCTGAAAGTTTTTCCCTCCTGTGAAGATATTTCTGAATTCTGCACAATTCAGTTTTCTTTTTGGTCTCACCTGTTAATTTCCCTCCTAACAACATGTGTGTGTGTGTGTGTTTAACCACTTTTCACCTTTTAAAGCTAAAACTCAAACATCTGATCATTCATAAGGGATTATTTTAGCTCTTTTTATACAGAAATTCAGGAAAAATTATTGATTAACATTGTGGAAATATCAAACCAATATAAATGTAACATAAAACAATTCCCAAAAGCTGATGACTACAGACTTGACATCTAATATCGATAAATGAAGTGCAAAACATAAATATTGAACATTTTAGCTTGTGACTTTCTCACTATGATGTTCTTTAATCCAGATCGTCATTTAGCCTGTATGTAATTAATGCATCTCTCATCAATAAACACATTTAATTTATCTGACGAGCTCTTATATTGGGGATGCAGAATGTTTTCATTACTTACAGATTTAATTGATCAACAGAAATATGATCATAAATGCCTTATAAAGATGACTGGCTGCTTTTTAAAAGATCATATATTGTAGTAAGCCATTCATCAAGTTTAGAATTATAAGTATTTCTGTTGCTGTATGAAAACACAACGAGTGGATGAAAAAAATCTTGTGAACTCAGCAAGAGGCATTAAAGCGCAGTTTCCATCCGCTCCACTAGGCGGCATCAGCGAGCTGCTCTTTTAGCCTGAACACCTTTGACAACAGCGCCACAGATCATCACAGGTACACCGTTTTACTGGCGTCAAGTTGAGCTCCAGCAGATGACAGCTCAGTGCCAGACTCATAATGTCAGTCAACAGCAGATATTACAGCCCGACAGTGAAGAAAAGCGACACAAAGTGCAGTAATGGAGAGTAACGCGACTCACCTGTAAGTGACTTTCTTTCATGGGTTTGTTTGTAGTGATGTTGCTGTAGTGTTTGTGTTCAGGCATTGCTCTCTCTCCTCCTCTGCAGCAGTGAAGATACACACGTGTGTCTGTTGTGTTTCTGCTGCACATCTTTCCTCTTTCTGACGCTCCTCCACACACTCCTCCACATCCAGGCGGATTCACAGCTCCAGTAAAGGTATTTATGAGCTCATATTTCCAGTAGAGAGTCCAGAAAGTGTGTTTGTTGTGCTGCTGCTCTGTCGCGTGTATGTTGGGGGAGGGACTTTCTGTAGAGAGCATGTGATTGGCCAGATTTGGTGTAGAGTCATCAGTACAGTATGAGGAGACTTTAGAAGTAAATGATGATATTTACAGTGTTTAATTGTGTTTAGTGACATTTAAAGCCCCACAAGCAGCTGTAAGATAATTTGAAACATGTTCATGTGTCTGATTGAAGAATAAGCATGTTTGTCACATTTTGAATAGTGAAATATAATAATATATTCGCATATGATGCAGTTTACATTTATTTAAAATAATTTACATTTGATATGAATTATTTGTGTTTATTTAGTTTTTTTTTCAAAATGTGTAGAATGTGGTTATCCTCCCATTGGAGAAAGAAATGGGGGTTTTATGTGTGTGGTGATGGTGTAGTGGTCAGAGCACACAGCATGACATCTGAAGCTGTCACAGCATACCTGGGTTCAAATCCAAGCACTGCTGCTGCTTTTTACTGCTGAGATAATCAGAAAAACAACAAAGTAATTTTATGTGTGTGTTCCCACTCTAATTACCTTGCACTTGTAGTGGTGTGAGCCAGACATCAAGGTGGGTTTCGTACCCAGGCCTCTGTCGTTACCTTGTCCACCACGATCTTGTGTTCATCCACTAGCCCATCATGGCTTTCAGTCTGTCAGCTGCTGTTTGGGCCACACTGTTTGATTGAATTCCAGCAACCGAAAGTAAAGTAAGCAATAGTGGGATTTGAACCCATGTCTCCTGTATGTCAGGCAGAGGCTCATCCACTGAACCACAGGGCTTGACATCAGGCAGTCGTTGTTTTGTGAGCCAAATTACAAAGAAATATTTGTCAAACCTTGTTCATGATGAAAACAGTGATAAAGCCTCATTCAGACACATTGTTCACCATCTAGACTCAGTGGCTCAAGTCATAAACTATTGATCTTTAATCAAGGAGACCCGGGTTCAAACCTCACTATGGCTAATGTCCATCTTGACCTCATTATACTGACCAGGAGCCCCTGATGATGGAACGAAACCCATGATGGGTAAATAAACACAAGTTCTCTGAGGAAGAGACTCATAAAGACAAGAGTTCAAATCTGACTTGTATCTCGATTTAGTAGAAATGAGATTCGATCCTTCACACTTCTAAATAGCAGGCGAATGCTCATCCTTTGAGCCACAGGGTTTGACATTTGCTCAAAGGTTTTTTGTGGCCCAAATTACAAAGAAACATGTGTCAAACCTTGGTCGGTATGAGAATAGTGATAAAGCCCCAATCTGACCTCTCCTTCACTGTCCAGACTCAGTGGCTCAGGTCTTAAAGTATCGAGCTGTAATCTAGGAGACCCGGGTTCAAACCTCACCATAGCTAATGTCCCACTGAGTTCATTATGTTCATCAAGATGATGGACGCTGATGTGAAACTAATGATGGTTGATGAGTGAATAAACACAAGTTCTCTGAGGAAGAGACTCATTAAGACAAGAGTTCAGATCTGACATATATTCTTGTTTTATTGAATCAGCTCACACACAGGTCAGCAGTCCAACATCAGTTCCAGCAAGTGTTCAGACAAGGAGATCTGTGGCTCTGTGGTAAGAGCGCTGCCCCACGGCTTCAGGGGTTGCTGGTTCAATGCCAGCCAGAACTCTGCGATATGTGTGAATGGTGAGTGAGTGTGAGGCGCGCCTGAAGAAGGGGGGATACCAGTTCGGTCTCCCCCTGGAGCTTCCGGAGCCGTGTCCAGCAGGGGTTATACTTTACAGCCTGCCAAAAAATTTAAAATGAACTGTATAAAAATTCTGGACCTTCGTCCCTTCCCCACCCGTTTCGGTTACCATCATTTACTTTCTAGAGGAGTGACCCTCCACAAAGCAAATGATGGTAACCGACATGTGCAAGACAAACACACACAATCACACATGATCTACATCACCTGTGCAGCAGCAGATGATCGTCATCAGTACAGTCAGTGTCTGTCCACACGTCTCTGCTTCTGTTCAACAGGCTTACAGTCCACAACACGTCACTGATCCTATAGAGTCGACACACATTATTACACACACTCAATATCTGATCTAACAATAGACAAATATACAAATATTACATATGTATCAAATATTGCGCCCTCCTGTGGAGATTTCTCCGAACTACACTTTTGCAAATCTTGAATCTACTGAATTTAAAATATTTGCCCTCTTGTGGGGATTTTTGTGAACTGCACTGCTGCCGCTCTAAAATAAGGAAAGTTTCTCCCTCCTGTGGAGATATTTCTGAATTACACCACTGCGAATTTGATGAATTCTAAATGTTCGCCCTCGTGTGGTGATTTTGGTGAATGACACCACTGCAAATCTAATAGTATGAATTTAAACATGTCGCCCTCCTGTGGAGATATTTCTGAATTACACCTTTGCAGATGTGTTGATTTGAAAGTTTGTGTTGATGTTTTTCCTGAATTTCAGCTCAGCAAATGTAAAGCACTGAGATTTCACCTTCCTGTGGCGCAGCTGTAGTTATGTGTATTTTCCTCCACTGATGCTGACAACCAGAAACATTTTATTGTGTAAAAGGAAGCAGAAAGTCTTGAGGTCTAAACTAAAAAAATAATTATTATTAAATAGAGACTTATCATCAAATGCTAAATATTACACAGTTTTTATGGGGATCTTCAAATGACAGCGAAGCTTGAGTAAACTGAGGTCATCGTGAGCACAGATCTGCTTCCTGTTGAAGCGAGTCGTTTTCTGTCTTCATCTGTTCCAGGAAAGATCAAAATCTGTTCTTGTTGACTCTATTATTATGATTATTTGAATCAGTTTTTAATCTTTGACATGATTTTGATCAGTGACTGAAGTTAAACATGACATAATGTAGTGATGTGTTCAGCTGAAGCGTCTGTGTCTGTCAAATCTCTGCTTTCAGGATCTGGGTAATTCTTCAACTACGAGCACTTTTATGTCCTTTGATCAAATATCCAAACATATATATAATTTAGTTTAAATTCCTCTTTCCTTGTCAAACTAACAGTCAAACCTACTTAAAAAAATGTAAAACCGAAACAAAATGATGGTAAATAAGAGTGTTTTGTATACATGAAAGGCTTGTATCAATTCAAAGTTAATCGGTGAAGCTATTTTACATTATTTTCATAATAAACTGTTGAAATGTCATTTCCATCACCACACACATTATTAAAAACATTTAAATAGTTCTCATCACACATTAAAGTGTATTCACAATGTATGAGTTCATGCTCTATTTCATATACAAATGCAGTTTATTTATTTTCTAATAAGCTCTTAACCAAATTATATTAAGTTTTAGAGTGTGACAGGTGTACAATTCAGCACACAACTAATTTATTTCATTGACAAATGTATAACTATTATTGATATTGTGTAAAGATTTGGTTAAACTAGAAACAAAAATGATCTTAGACAATGTTTGACTGCCATCATTTATGTCATTTAGAAATATAAGCTGTATATTGAGATGTGCTGGAATTGACATTTGTTCAGTTCACGATGGAGAAAATGTTTCTCTTCTTATCTAAGTTTGTCCTCTTACAGATCTTAAAACTAGACAAAGTGTTTAAACTTATGAGGCTATGTTACGTTAATTTTGAACAAGTTTTTTTACTCAACTTCACAAGGCTAAAAGTGCTCGTAGTTGAAGAATGGCCCATCTACCAAGCCAGGTCAGAGGTCATGGAGAGCTCTCGAGGGGAACTGGATTCCTGGTGGATTGAAAACAACTGATTGCTGAGTTTTTCTATTTTATGTGTAAATTCTCTGTAAAGTAATTTTCTTTGTATGCAGGAGAGATTTTCTGTCTTAGTGTAAGGCAGGGAGATCGGCCAGCGAACTCAATGCCAGTGTGAAGCCCTCCTGCTGCAGAACCACAAACTATCTCCCGTAAATTCTCTTAATTTTATTTAATCTGCAGCTCAGAGTCTTCTCTTGATCTGACACAGCAGTCGTTTTGGTCTCAACTGTTCATTTCCCTCCTAACAATGTCAAAATAATTATTGAAGCATACACTCAATCATCTAATCATTCATGGGTCATTATTTGTGCTCACTTTATATTGAACTTCAGCACAAATGCTTGATTAACAATGTGGAAATATCAAACCAATACGAATGTAATGTGAAACCTGAATATTAGCCTGTAGGTAATTAATGCGCCACTTATCAATAAAGACACACAGAACTTGTTTGACGAGCTCTTATATTGGGGATGCAGAATGTTTTCATTGCTTACAGATTTAATTGACGCAGACACAAATGATAATTTTACCAACAAAAATATGAACACATTTCCTTTACTAAATGCCTTATAAAGATGACTGGCTGCTTTATTTTCAATCCTATATTGTATTAAGCCGTTCAATAAGTTTTAAATTATGAGTATTTCTGTTGCTGAAAGAAAACGCAATGAGCGGATGTAAAAAATCTTGTGAATTCTGCAAGAGGCATATTTGGTCAGTCTTTCTCCAATAGTATCTGCATGCAGACTTGGATTTGCAAGCTGAGACTGCATATATCAGACTTACAATGTCAGACGCTGCACTCAATGAAGCAAATGACGTCATTGTGAGGGGCGGTATTTGTATGTGCATTAAAGCGCAGACCCATTCGCTCCACTAGGTGGAATCAGCGAGCTGCTTTTTTAGTCTGAACAACTTTGACAACAGCAACACAGATCAACACAGGTACACCGTTTTACTGGCGTCAAGTTGAGCTCCAGTAGCAGATGACAGCTCAGTGACAGACTCATAATGTCAGTCAACAGCAGATATTACAGCCTGACAGCGAAGAAAAGCCACACCAAGTGCAGAAATGGAGAGTAACGCGACTCACCTGTAAGGGACTTTGCTCTGTTGGTTTAGTTTGTAGTGATGTTGCTGTAGTGTTTGTGTTCAGTCATTGCTCTCTCTCTCCTCTGCAGCAGTGAAGATACACACGTGTGTTTGTTGTGTTTCTGCAGCAGATCTTTGACCTGCGCTCAACAGCTGATGCTCCTCCACACACTCCTCCACATCCAGGCGGATTCACAGCTCCAGTAAAGGTATTTATGAGCTCATATTTCCAGTAGAGAGTCCAGAAAGTGTGTTTGTTGTGCTGCTGCTCTGTCGCGTGTATGTTGGGGGAGGGACTTTCTGTAGAAAGCATGTGATTGGCCAGATTTGGTGTAGAGTCATCAGTACAGTATGAGGAGACTTTAGAAGTAAATGATGATATTTACAGTGTTTAATTGTGTTTAGTGACATTTAAAGCCCCACAAGCAGCTGTAAGATAATTTGAAACATGTTCATGTGTCTGATTGAAGAATAAGCATGTTTGTCACATTTTGAATAGTGAAATATAATAATATATTCGCATATGATGCAGTTTACATTTATTTAAAATAATTTACATTTGATATGAATTATTTGTGTTTATTTAGTTTTTTTTTTCAAAATGTGTAGAATGTGGTTATCCTCCCATTGGAGAAAGAAATGTAGGATTATGTGTGTGGTGATGGTGTAGTGGTCAGAGCACACAGCATGACATCTGAAGCTGTCACAGCATACCTGGGTTCAAATCCAAGCACTGCTGCTGCTTTTTACTGCTGAGATAATCAGAAAAACAACATAGTAATTTTATGTGTGTGTTCCCACTCTAATTACCTTGCACTTGCAGCGGTGTGAGCCAGACATCAAGGTGGGTTTCGTACCCAGGCCTCTGTCGTTACCTTGTCCACCGCAATCTTGTGTTCATCCACTAGCCCATCATGGCTTTCAGTCTGTCAGCTGCTGTTTGGGCCACACTGTTTGATTGAATTCCAGTAACCGAAAGTAAAGTAAGCAATAGTGGGATTTGAACCCATGTCTCCTGTATGTCAGGCGGAGGCTCATCCACTGAACCACAGGGCTTGACATCAGGCAGTCGTTGTTTTGTGAGCCTAATTACAAAGAAATATTTGTCAAACCTTGTTCATGATGAAAACAGTGATAAAGCCTCATTCAGACACATTGATCACCATCTAGACTCAGTGGCTCAAGTCATAAACTATTGATCTTTAATCAAGGAGACCCGAGTTCAATCCTCACTATGGCTAATGTCCATCTTGACCTCATTATACTGACCAGGAGCCCCTGATGATGGAACGAAACCCATGATGGGTGAATAAACACAAGTTCTCTGAGGAAGAGACTCATAAAGACAAGAGTTCAAATCTGACTTGTATCTCGATTTGGTAGAAATGAGATTCGATCCTTCACACTTCTAAATAGCAGGCGAACGCTCATCCTTTGAGCCACAGGGTTTGACATTTGCCGAGAGGTTTTTTCTGGCCCAACTTACAAAGAAACATGTGTCAAACCTTGTTCGGTATGAGAATAGTGATAAAGCCCCAATCTGACCTCTCCTTTGCTGTCCAGACTCAGTGGCTCAGGTCTTAAAGTATTGAGCTTTAATCTAGGAGACCCGGGTTCAAACCTCACCATAGCTAATGTCCCACTGAGTTCATTATGTTCATCAAGATGATGGACGCTGATGTGAAACTAATGATGGTTGATGAGTGAATAAACACAAGTTCTCTAAGGAAGAGACTCATAAAGACAAGTGTTCAGATCTGACATATATTCTTGTTTTATTGAATCAGCTCACACACAGGTCAGCAGTCCAACATCAGTTCCAGCAGGTGCTCAGACAGGAGATCTGTGGCTCTGTGGTAAGAGCGCTGCCCCACGGCTTCAGGGGTTGCTGGTATCGGTCCCAGCCAGAACTCTGCGATATGTGTGAATGGTGAGTGAGTGTGAGGCGTGCCTGAAGAAGGGGGGATACCAGTTCGGTCTCCCCCTGGAGCTTCCGGAGCCATGTCCAGCAGGGGTTATACTTTCCAGCCTGCCAAAAAATTTAAAATGAACTGTATAAAAATTCTGGACCTGCGTCCCTTCCCCACCCGTTTCGGTTACCATCATTTACTTTCTAGAGGAGTGACCCTCCACAAAGCAAATGATGGTTACCGACATGTGGATCAGACACACACACACACACAATCACACATGATCTACATCACCTGTGCAGCAGCAGATGATCGTCATCAGTACAGTCAGTGTCTGTCCACACGTCTCTGCTTCTGTTCAACAGGCTTACAGTCCACAACACTTCACTGATCCTGTAGAGTCGACACACAAATACACACATTATTACACACACTGAATATCTGATATAACAATAGACAAATACACAAATATTACATATGTAGGAAATATTGCGCCCTCCTGTGGAGATTTCTCTGAACTACACTTTTGCAAATCTTGAATTTACTGAATTTAAAATATTCGCCCTCTTGTGGGGATTTTTGTGAACTGCACTGCTGCTGTTTTAAAATACTGAGTTTCTCCCTCCTGTGGAGATATTTCTGAATTGCAGCGCTGCGAATTTGATTAATTTAAAATATTCGCCCTCGTGTGGGGAATTTGGTGAATTACACCACTGCAAATCTATTTGAATGAGCTTAAACATGTTGCCCTCCTGTGGAGATATTTCTGAATTACACCTTTCTGTTGATTTGAAAGTTTGTGGTGATGTTTTTCCTGATCTTCAGCTCAGCACTGAGATTTCACCTTCCTGTGGCGCAGCTGTAGTTATGTGTATTTTCATCCACTGATGCTGACAACCACAAACATGTTCTTGTCTAAAAGGAAGCAGAAAATCTTGAGGTTTAAACAAAAAAAAAGGAATTATTAATAAATAAAGAAATATCATCAAACGCTAAATATCACACAGTTTTTATGGGGATCTTCAGATGACAGCGAGACAGTAAACTGAGGTCATGGTGAACACAGTTCTGCTACATGTTGAAGCGAGTCGTTTTCTGTCTTCATCCGTTCCAGGAAAGATCTAAATATATTCTGTTGGTGACTTTATTATTGATTATTTGAATCAGTTTTTAATCCTTGACATGATTTTGATCAGTGATTGAAGTTAAACATGACCTAATGTAGTGATGTGTTCAGTCGGAGAGTCTCTGTTTCTGTCAAATCTCTGTTTTCAGGATCTACCAAGCCAGGTCAGAGGTCATGGAGAGCTCTTGAGCAGAACTGGATTCCTGATGGATTGGAAACAACTGTTTCCTGAGTTATTTACCGTTTTCTGTGTTAATTCTGTTTAAAGTCATTTTCTTTGTGTGCAGGAGAGACTTTCTGTGTAGCAGCAGCTGCCAGTCTGGATGTAGATTACACCAGTATTAACCAGTTTCCGATTAGACGGCTGAGAGTACAAGAAACAGCCTTGAGGATGAAACAGGTCGTTCCCTGTAGAGCGGCACGGTATTGGAAATATGTCACAATGTGATGTTTAGTTTTCTGTGATTTATACTGTGATAAGAGTACAATTTCACCAGATGACTTGAACGGCTCTGTGTGTACAGAATTGATCATTTTAGATTGATTGGGATGATTCTGTAGATTTATTATACACAGTATAATTGCTGTGTTTTTGTTATTGTAAGGCAGCGAGATCGGCCAGCAAACTCTATGCGAGTGTCACAGAACGGCAAACTATCTTCAGTAAATTCTCTTAATCTTACTGAGTCTCCAGCTCAGAGGCTTCTCTTAATCGGACACACCAGTCGTTTTGGTCTCACCTGTTAATTTCCCTCCTAACAATGTGTGTGTGTGTGTGTGTGTGTGTGTGTTTAACCACTTTTCACCTTTTAAAGCTTAAACTCAAACATCTGATCATTCATAAGGGATTATTTTAGCTCTTTTTATGCAGAAACTCAGGACAAATTATTGATTAACATTGTGGAAATATCAAACCAATATAAATGTAACATAAAACAATTCCCAAAAGCTGATGACTACAGACTTGACATCAAATATCGATAAATGAAGTGCAAAACATAAATATTGAACATGTTAGCTTGTGACTTTCTCACTATGATGTTCTTCACTCCAGATCGTCTTTTAGCCTGTATGTAATTAATGCATCTCTCATCAATAAACACATTTAATTTATCTGACGAGCTCTTATATCGGGGATGCAGAATGTTTTCATTGCTTACAGATTTAATTGACCAACAGAAATATGATCATAAATGCCTTATAAAGATGACTGGCTGCTTTTTAAAAGATCATATATTGTAGTAAGCCATTCATCAAGTTTAGAATTATAAGTATTTCTGTTGCTGTATGAAAACACAACGAGTGGATGAAAAAAAATCTTGTGAACTCAGCAAGAGGCATTAAAGCGCAGTTTCCATCCGCTCCACTAGGCGGCATCAGCGAGCTGCTCTTTTAGCCTGAACACCTTTGACAACAGCGCCACAGATCAACACAGGTACACCGTTTTACTGGCGTCAAGTTGAGCTCCAGCAGATGACAGCTCAGTAACATATTGTCAGTCAACAGCAGATATTACAGCCCGACAGTGAAGAAAAGCGACACAAAGTGCAGTAATGGAGAGTAACGCGACTCACCTGTAAGTGACTTTCTTTCATGGGTTTGTTTGTAGTGATGTTGTTGTAGTGTTTGTGTTCAGGCATTGCTCTCTCTCCTCTGCAGCAGTGAAGATACACACGTGTGTCTGTTGTGTTTCTGCTGCACATCTTTCCTCTTTCTGATGCTCCTCCACACACTCCTCCACATCCAGGCGGATTCACAGCTCCAGTAAAGGTATTTATGAGCTCATATTTCCAGTAGAGAGTCCAGAAAGTGTGTTTGTTGTGCTGCTGCTCTGTCGCGTGTATGTTGGGGGAGGGACTTTCTGTAGAAAGCATGTGATTGGCCAGATTTGGTGTAGAGTCATCAGTACAGTATGAGGAGACTTTAGAGGTAAATGATGATATTTACAGTGTTTAATTGTGTTTAGTGACATTTAAAGCCCCACAAGCAGCTGTAAGATAATTTGAAACATGTTCATGTGTCTGATTGAAGAATAAGCATGTTTGTCACATTTTGAATAGTGAAATATAATAATATATTTGCATATGATGCAGTTTACATTTATTTAAAATAATTTACATTTGATATGAATTATTTGTGTTTATTTAGTTTTTTTTTTTCAAAATGTGTAGAATGTGGTTATCCTCCCATTGGAGAAAGAAATGTGGGTTTATGTGTGTGGTGATGGTGAAGTGGTCAGAGCACACAGCATGACATCTGAAGCTGTCACAGCATACCTGGGTTCAAATCCAAGCACTGCTGCTGCTTTTTACTGCTGAGATAATCAGAAAAACAACAAAGTAATTTTATGTGTGTGTTCCCACTCTAATTACCTTGCACTTGCAGCGGTGTGAGCCAGACATCGAGGTGGGTTTCGTACCCAGGCCTCTGTCGTTACCTTGTCCACCGCAATCTTGTGTTCATCCACTAGCCCATCATGGCTTTCAGTCTGTCAGCTGCTGTTTGGGCCACACTGTTTGATTGAATTCCAGCAACCGAAAGTAAAGTAAGCAATAGTGGGATTTGAACCCATGTCTCCTGTATGTCAGGCGGAGTCTTATCCACTGAACCACAGGGCTTGACATCAGGCAGTCGTTGTTTTGTGAGCCAAATTACAAAGAAATATTTGTCAAACCTTGTTCATGATGAAAACAGTGATAAAGCCTCATTCAGACACATTGTTCACCATCTAGACTCAGTGGCTCAAGTCATAAACTATTGATCTTTAATCAAGGAGACCCGGGTTCAAACCTCACTATGGCTAATGTCCATCTTGACCTCATTATACTGACCAGGAGCCCCTGATGATGGAACCAAACCCATGATGGGTGAATAAACACAAGTTCTCTGAGGAAGAGACTCATAAAGACAAGAGTTCAAATCTGACTTGTATCTCGATTCGGTAGAAATGAGATTCGATCCTTCACACTTCTAAATAGCAGGCGAACGCTCATCCTTTGAGCCACAGGGTTTGACATTTGCCAAAAGGTTTTTTGTGGCCCAAATCACAAAGAAACATGTGTCAAACCTTGGTCGGTATGAGAATAGTGATAAAGCCCCGATCTGACCTCTCCTTCGCTGTCCAGACTCAGTGGCTCAGGTCTTAAAGTATTGAGCTTTAATCTAGGAGACCCGGGTTCAAACCTCATCGTGGCTAATGTCCCACTGAGTTCATTATGTTCATCAAGATGATGGACGCTGATGTGAAACTAATGATGGTTGATGAGTGAATAAACACAAGTTCTCTGAGGAAGAGACTCATAAAGACAAGGGTTCAGATCTGACATATATTCTTGTTTTATTGAATCAGCTCACACACAGGTCAGCAGTCCAACATCAGTTCCAGCAGGTGCTCAGACAGGAGATCTGTGGCTCTGTGGTAAGAGCACTGCCCCACGGCTTCAGGGGTTGCTGGTATCGGTCCCAGCCAGAACTCTGCGATATGTGTGAATGGTGAGTGAGTGTGAGGCGCGCCTGAAGAAGGGGGGATACCAGTTCGGTCTCCCCCTGGAGCTTCCGGAGCCGTGTCCAGCAGGGGTTATACTTTACAGCCTGCCAAAAAATTTAAAATGAACTGTATAAAAATTCTGGACCTGCGTCCCTTCCCCACCCGTTTCGGTTACCATCATTTACTTTCTAGAGGAGTGACCCTCCACAAAGCAAATGATGGTAACCGACATGTGGATCAGACACACACAATCACACACATGATCTACATCACCTGTGCAGCAGCAGATGATCATCATTAGTACAGTCAGTGTCTGTCCACACGTCTCTGCTTCTGTTCAACAGGTTTACAGTCCACAACACGTCACTGATCCTGTAGAGTCGATACACACATTATTACACACACTGAATATCTGAGCTAATAATAGACAAATATACAAATATTACATATGTAGGAAATATTGCGCCCTCCTGTGGAGATTTCTCTGAACTACACTTTTGCAAATCTTGAATTTACTGAATTTAAAATATTCGCCCTCTTGTGGGGATTTTTGTGAACTGCACTGCTGCTGTTTTAAAATACTGAGTTTCTCCCTCCTGTGAAGATATTTCTGAATTGCAGCGCTGCGAATTTGATTAATTTAAAATATTCGCTCTCGTGTGGTGATTTTGCTGAATTGCACCACTGCAAATCTATTTGAATGAGCTTAAACATGTTGCCCTCCTGTGGAGATATTTCTGAATTACACCTTTCTGTTGATTTGAAAGTTTGTGGTGATGTTTTTCCTGATCTTCAGCTCAGCACTGAGATTTCACCTTCCTGTGGCGCAGCTGTAGTTATGTGTATTTTCATCCACTGATGCTGACAACCACAAACATGTTCTTGTCTAAAAGGAAGCAGAAAATCTTGAGGTTTAAACAAAAAAAAAGGAATTATTAATAAATAAAGAAATATAATCGAACGCTAAATATTACACAGTTTTATGGGGATCTTCAGATGACAGCGAGACAGTAAACTGAGGTCATGGTGAACACAGTTCTGCTACATGTTGAAGCGAGTCGTTTTCTGTCTTCATCCGTTCCAGTAAAGATCTAAATATATTCTGTTGGTGACTTTATTATTGATTATTTGAATCAGTTTTTAATCCTTGACATGATTTTGATCAGTGATTGAAGTTAAACATGACCTAATGTAGTGATGTGTTCAGTCGGAGAGTCTCTGTTTCTGTCAAATCTCTGTTTTCAGGATCTACCAAGCCAGGTCAGAGGTCATGGAGAGCTCTTGAGCAGAACTGGATTCCTGATGGATTGGAAACAACTGTTTCCTGAGTTATTTACCGTTTTCTGTGTTAATTCTGTTTAAAGTCATTTTCTTTGTGTGCAGGAGAGACTTTCTGTGTAGCAGCAGCTGCCAGTCTGGATGTAGATTACACCAGTATTAACCAGTTTCCGATTAGACGGCTGAGAGTACAAGAAACAGCCTTGAGGATGAAACAGGTCGTTCCCTGTAGAGCGGCACGGTATTGGAAATATGTCACAATGTGATGTTTAGTTTTCAGTGATTTATACTGTGATAAGAGTACAATTTCACCAGATGACTTGAACGGCTCTGTGTGTACAGAATTGATCATTTTAGATTGATTGGGATGATTCTGTAGATTTATTATACACAGTATAATTGCTGTGTTTTTGTTATTGTAAGGCAGCGAGATCGGCCAGCAAACTCTATGCGAGTGTCACAGAACGGCAAACTATCTTCAGTAAATTCTCTTAATCTTACTGAGTCTCCAGCTCGGAGGCTTCTCTTAATCGGACACACCAGTCGTTTTGGTCTCACCTGTTAATTTCCCTCCTAACAACGTGTGTGCGTGTGTGTGTGTGTGTGTGTGTGTGTGTGTGTTTAACCACTTTTCACCTTTTAAAGCTTAAACTCAAACATCTGATCATTCATAAGGGATTATTTTAGCTCTTTTTATGCAGAAACTCAGGACAAATTATTGATTAACATTGTGGAAATATCAAACCAATATAAATGTAACATAAAACGATTCCCAAAAGCTGATGACTACAGACTTGACATCAAATATCGATAAATGAAGTGCAAAACATAAATATTGAACATGTTAGCTTGTGACTTTCTCACTATGATGTTCTTCACTCCAGATCGTCTTTTAGCCTGTATGTAATTAATGCACCTCTCATCAATAAACACATTTAATTTATCTGACGAGCTCTTATATCGGGGATGCAGAATGTTTTCATTGCTTACAGATTTAATTGACCAACAGAAATATGATCATAAATGCCTTATAAAGATGACTGGCTGCTTTTTAAAAGATCATATATTGTAGTAAGCCATTCATCAAGTTTAGAATTATAAGTATTTCTGTTGCTGTATAAAAACACAACGAGTGGTTGAAAAAAAATCTTGTGAACTCAGCAAGAGGCATTAAAGCGCAGTTTCCATCCGCTCCACTAGGCGGCATCAGCGAGCTGCTCTTTTAGCCTGAACACCTTTGACAACAGCGCCACAGATCAACACAGGTACACCGTTTTACTGGCGTCAAGTTGAGCTCCAGCAGATGACAGCTCAGTGACAGACTCATAATGTCAGTCAACAGCAGATATTACAGCCCGACAGCGAAGAAAAGCGACACAAAGTGCAGTAATGGAGAGTAACGCGACTCACCTGTAAGTGACTTTCTTTCATGGGTTTGTTTGTAGTGATGTTGTTGTAGTGTTTGTGTTCAGGCATTGCTCTCTCTCCTCATCTGCAGCAGTGAAGATACACACGTGTGTCTGTTGTGTTTCTGCTGCACATCTTTCCTCTTTCTGATGCTCCTCCACACACTCCTCCACATCCAGGCGGATTCACAGCTCCAGTAAAGGTATTTATGAGCTCATATTTCCAGTAGAGAGTCCAGAAAGTGTGTTTGTTGTGCTGCTGCTCTGTCGCGTGTATGTTGGGGGAGGGACTTTCTGTAGAGAGCATGTGATTGGCCAGATTTGGTGTAGAGTCATCAGTACAGTATGAGGAGACTTTAGAGGTAAATGATGATATTTACAGTGTTTAATTGTGTTTAGTGACATTTAAAGCCCCACAAGCAGCTGTAAGATAATTTGAAACATGTTCATGTGTCTGATTGAAGAATAAGCATGTTTGTCACATTTTGAATAGTGAAATATAATAATATATTCGCATATGATGCAGTTTACATTTATTTAAAATAATTTACATTTGATATGAATTATTTGTGTTTATTTAGTTTTTTTTTCAAAATGTGTAGAATGTGGTTATCCTCCCATTGGAGAAAGAAATGTGGGTTTATGTGTGTGGTGATGGTGTAGTGGTCAGAGCACACAGCATGACATCTGAAGCTGTCACAGCATACCTGGGTTCAAATCCAAGCACTGCTGCTGCTTTTTACTGCTGAGATAATCAAAAAAAAACAACAAAGTAATGTTATGTGTGTGTTCCCACTCTAATTACCTTGCACTTGCAGCGGTGTGAGCCAGACATTGAGGTGGGTTTCGTACCCAGGCCTCTGTCGTTACCTTGTCCACCATAATCTTGTGTTCATCCACTAGCCCATCATGGCTTTCAGTCTGTCAGCTGCTGTTTGGGCCACACTGTTTGATTGAATTCCAGCAACCGAAAGTAAAGTAAGCAATAGTGGGATTTGAACCCATGTCTCCTGTATGTCAGGCGGAGGCTCATCCACTGAACCACAGGGCTTGACATCAGGCAGTCATTGTTTTGTGAGCCAAATTACAAAGAAATATTTGTCAAACCTTGTTCATGACGAAAACAGTGATAAAGCCTCATTCAGACACATTGTTCACCATCTAGACTCAGTGGCTCAAGTCATAAACTATTGATCTTTAATCAAGGAGACCCGGGTTCAAACCTCACTATGGCTAATGTCCATCTTGACCTCATTATACTGACCAGGAGCCCCTGATGATGGAACGAAACCCATGATGGGTGAATAAACACAAGTTCTCTGAGGAAGAGACTCATAAAGACAAGAGTTCAAATCTGACTTGTATCTCGATTTGGTAGAAATGAGATTCGATCCTTCACACTTCTAAATAGCAGGCGAACGCTCATCCTTTGAGCCACAGGGTTTGACATTTGCCAAAAGGTTTTTCGTGGCCCAAATTACAAAGAAACATGCGTCAAACCTTGGTGGGTATGAGAATAGTGATAAAGCCCCAATCTGACCTCTCCTTTGCTGTCCAGACTCAGTGGCTCAGGTCTTAAAGTATTGAGCTTTAATCTAGGAGACCCGGGTTCAAACCTCACCATGGCTAATGTCCCACTGAGTTCATTATGTTCATCAAGATGATGGACGCTGATGTGAAACTAATGATGGTTGATGAGTGAATAAACACAAGTTCTCTGAGGAAGAGACTCATAAAGACAAGTGTTCAGATCTGACATATATTCTTGTTTTATTGAATCAGCTCACACACAGGTCAGCAGTCCAACATCAGTTCCAGCAGGTGCTCAGACAGGAGATCTGTGGCTCTGTGGTAAGAGCGCTGCCCCACGGCTTCAGGGGTTGCTGGTATCGGTCCCAGCCAGAACTCTGCGATATGTGTGAATGGTGAGTGAGTGTGAGGCGCGCCTGAAGAAGGGGGGATACCAGTTCGGTCTCCCCCTGGAGCTTCCGGAGCCGTGTCCAGCAGGGGTTATACTTTACAGCCTGCCAAAAAATTTTAAATGAACTGTATAAAAATTCTGGACCTGCGTCCCTTCCCCACCCGTTTCGGTTACCATCATTTACTTTGTAGAGGAGTGACCCTCCACAAAGCAAATGATGGTAACCGACATGTGCAAGACAAACACACACACACAATCACACATGATCTACATCACCTGTGCAGCAGCAGATGATCATCATCAGTACAGTCAGTGTCTGTCCACACGTCTCTGCTTCTGTTCAACAGACTTACAGTCCACAACACTTCACTGATCCTGTAGAGTCGACACACAAATACACACATTATTACACACACTGAATATCTGATCTAACAATAGACAAATAGACAAATATTACATATGTATCAAATATTGCGCCCTCCTGTGGAGATTTCTCTGAACTACACTTTTGCAAATCTTGAATCTACTGAATTTAAAATATTCGCCCTCTTGTGGGGATTTTTGTGAACTGCACTGCTGCCGCTCTAAAATAATGAAAGTTTCTCCCTCCTGTGGAGATATTTCTGAATTACACCACTGCGAATTTGATGAATTCTAAATGTTCGCCCTCGTGTGGTGATTTTGGTGAATGACACCACTGCAAATCTAATAGTATGAATTTAAACATGTCGCCCTCCTGTGGAGATATTTCTGAATTACACCTTTGCAGTTCAGTTGATTTGAAAGATTGTGTTGATGTTTTTCCTGAACTTCAGCACAGCAAATGTAAAGCACTGAGATTTCACCTTCCTGTGGCGCAGCTGTAGTTCTGTGTATTTTCCTCCACTGATGCTGACAACCAGAAACATTTTAATGTGTAAAAGGAAGCAGGAAGTCTTGAGGTCTAAACTAAAAAAAATATTATTAAATAGAGACTTATCATCAAATGCTAAATATCACACAGTTTTTATGGGGATCTTCAAATGACAGCGAAGCTTGAGTAAACTGAGGTCATCGTGAGAACAGATCTGCTTCCTGTTGAAGCGAGTCGTTTTCTGTCTTCATCTGTTCCAGGAAAGATCAAAATCTGTTCTTGTTGACTTTATTATTATGATTATTTGAATCAGTTTTTAATCTTTGACATGATTTTGATCTGTGAATGAAGTTAAACATGACATAATGTAGTGATGTGTTCAGCTGAAGCGTCTGTGTCTGTCAAATCTCTGTTTTCAGGATCTACCAAGCCAGGTCAGAGGTCATGGAGAGCTCTTGAGCAGAACTGGATTCCTGATGGATTGGAAACAACTGTTTCCTGAGTTATTTACCGTTTTCTGTGTTAATTCTGTTTAAAGTCATTTTCTTTGTGTGCAGGAGAGACTTTCTGTGTAGCAGCAGCTGCCAGTCTGGATGTAGATTACACCAGTATTCAACCAGTTTCCGATTAGACGGCTGAGAGTACAAGAAACAGCCTTGAGGATGAAACAGGTCGTTCCCTGTAGAGCGGCACGGTATTGGAAATATGTCACAATGTGATGTTTAGTTTTCTGTGATTTATACTGTGATAAGAGTACAATTTCACCAGATGACTTGAACGGCTCTGTGTGTACAGAATTGATCACTTTAGATTGATTGGGATGATTCTGTAGATTTATTATACACAGTATAATTGCTGTGTTTTTGTTATTGTAAGGCAGCGAGATCGGCCAGCAAACTCTATGCGAGTGTCACAGAACGGCAAACTATCTTCAGTAAATTCTCTTAATCTTACTGAGTCTCCAGCTCGGAGGCTTCTCTTAATCGGACACACCAGTCGTTTTGGTCTCACCTGTTAATTTCCCTCCTAACAACGTGTGTGTGTGTGTGTGTGTGTGTGTGTGTGTGTGTGTGTGTGTGTGTTTAACCACTTTTCACCTTTTAAAGCTTAAACTCAAACATCTGATCATTCATAAGGGATTATTTTAGCTCTTTTTATTCAGAAACTCAGGACAAATTATTGATTAACATTGTGGAAATATCAAACCAATATAAATGTAACATAAAACGATTCCCAAAAGCTGATGACTACAGACTTGACATCAAATATCGATAAATGAAGTGCAAAACATAAATATTGAACATGTTAGCTTGTGACTTTCTCACTATGATGTTCTTCACTCCAGATCGTCTTTTAGCCTGTATGTAATTAATGCACCTCTCATCAATAAACACATTTAATTTATCTGACGAGCTCTTATATTGGGGATGCAGAATGTTTTCATTACTTACAGATTTAATTGACCAACAGAAATATGATCATAAATGCCTTATAAAGATGACTGGCTGCTTTTTAAAAGATTATATATTGTAGTAAGCCATTCATCAAGTTTTGAATGATAAGTATTTCTGTTGCTGTATGAAAACACAACGAGTGGATAATAAAAAATCTTGTGAACTCAGCAAGAAGCATTAAAGCGCAGTTTCCATCCGCTCCACTAGGCGGCATCAGCGAGCTGCTCTTTTAGCCTGAACACCTTTGACAACAGCGCCACAGATCAACACAGGTACACCGTTTTACTGGCGTCAAGTTGAGCTCCAGCAGATGACAGCTCAGTGCCAGACTCATAATGTCAGTCAACAGCAGATATTACAGCCCGACAGCGAAGAAAAGCGACACAGAGAGCAGAAATGGAGAGTAACGCGACTCACCTGTAAGTGACTTTCTTTCATGGGTTTGTTTGTAGTGATGTTGTTGTAGTGTTTGTGTTCAGGCATTGCTCTCTCTCCTCATCTGCAGCAGTGAAGATACACACGTGTGTTTGTTGTGTTTCTGCTGCTCATCTTGCCTCTTTCTGACGCTCCTCCACACACTCCTCCACATCCAGGCGGATTCACAGCTCCAGTAAAGGTATTTATGAGCTCATATTTCCAGTAGAGAGTCCAGAAAGTGTGTTTGTTGTGCTGCTGCTCTGTCGCGTGTATGTTGGGGGAGGGACTTTCTGTAGAGAGCATGTGATTGGCCAGATTTGGTGTAGAGTCATCAGTACAGTATGAGGAGACTTTAGAAGTAAATGATGATATTTACAGTGTTTAATTGTGTTTAGTGACATTTAAAGCCCCACAAGCAGCTGTAAGATAATTTAAAATATGGTTGATGTGTTTGACTGAAGAATAAGCAGGTTTTTCACATTTTAAGCAATGAAATGTAATAATATATTAGCATATGATGTAGTTTGAATGTATTTTGAATTATTTATATTGTGATTTTATTTATATTATAATTTTATATTAATTATTTGTGTTTATTTAGTTTTTTTTTTAAATGTGTAAATGTGGTCATCCTCACATTGGAGAAAGAAGAGTGTGTTTGTGTGTGTGCTGATGGTGTAGTGGTCAGAGCACACAGCCTGAGATGTGAAGTTCTCACAGCATACCTGGGTTCAAATCTGAGTCCTGTTACTGCTCTTTACTGCTGATCCAAAAACTAAAGTGTTTCTCATAAGGATTGCACTGATAACTTTCCTTTCAGCAGTTCCTTTGGTTTGATCCACACAGTGTAGTGAGATTCGTACCCAAGCCTCTACCGTAGTCTCGTTCACATTGACTGTGTGTTCAGCCACTAGCCCATCATGGCTTTCATGCTGCTTGGGCCACTTTGTCTGACTGAATTCCAGCAAATGACAGTAAAGTAAGCAATAGAGGGATTTGAACCCAGGTCTCCTGCATGAAAGCACATTGTTTTATGACTTGAGCCACTGAGAGAGATGAGTTCAGACTTCTTAAATTTGGTTTTATTGAGAGTTTTGAGAAAGACACAATGTTAGTTTAAGCAATTGTGAGATTAGATCCTACAGTATTCTGTATGGCAGTCAAACACTCATCCACTGAGCCACAGGACTTCACTTTTGTATCTTATTGTTTGTGAGCCAAATTACAAAGAAATTTATCTCAAATCGCAGTCAATATATAAAGCTCCATTCAAACACCAACTCCTCACTCCAGACTCAGTGGCTCAGGTCATAAAGTGTTGAACTTTAATCAAAGAGACCCGGGTTCAAATCTCACTATGGCTAATGTCCAGCTTGAGCTTATTATATTCACCATCAGTGTCCTGCCCTGATGATGGAAGCTGATGGTGAATATAATGAGCTCAAGCTGGATGATGATGTGAAACCCATGATGATTGAGTGAATAAACACAAGTTCTCTGAAGAAGAGACTCATAAAGACAAGAGTTCACATCTGACTTGCATCTTGTTCTGGCAATAGTGGGATTTGATCCTTCAAAGTTCTGTACGACAGATGAACGCTCATCCACTGAACCACAGGGTTTGATTTTGGACATGGTTGTTTTGTGAAATAAAAGAAAAAAAAACACGTGTCAAACCCTGGCCATGATGGAATTAGTGATAAAACCCCATTCAGATCACCCCTCCAACATCAGACTTGGTGGCTCATGTCATAAAGTGTTGGGCTTTAATCAAGAAGACCCGGGTTCAATCCTCACTGTGGCTAATGTCCACCTTCAGCTCATTATATTCACCATCCTGATGATGGACGCTGGTGTGAAACCCATGATGGGCGAGTCAATAAACACAAGTTCTCTGAGGAAGAGACTCATAAAGACAAGAGTTCACATCTGACTTGTATCTTGTTTTATTGAATCAGCTCACACACAGGTCAGCAGCCAAACATCAGTTCCAGCAGGTGTTCAGACAGGAGATCTGTGGCTCTGTGGTAAGAGCGCTGCCCCACGGCTTCAGGGGTTGCTGGTATCGGTCCCAGCCAGAACTCTGCGATATGTGTGAATGGTGAGTGAGTGTGAGGCGCGCCTGAAGAAGGGGGGATACCAGTTCGGTCTCCCCCTGGAGCTTCCGGAGCCGTGTCCAGCAGGGGTTATACTTTACAGCCTGCCAAAAAATTTAAAATGAACTGTATAAAAATTCTGGACCTTCGTCCCTTCCCCACCCGTTTCGGTTACCATCATTTACTTTCTAGAGGAGTGACCCTCCACAAAGCAAATGATGGCAACCGACATGTGCAAGACAAACACACACACACACACATGATCTACATCACCTGTGCAGCAGCAGATGATCATCATCAGTACAGTCAGTGTCTGTCCACACGTCTCTGCTTCTGTTCAACAGGCTTACAGTCCACAACACTTCACTGATCCTGTAGAGTCGACACATTATTACACACACTGATTATCTGATCTAACAATAGACAAATACACAAATATTACACATGTATGAAATATTGCGCCCTCATGTGGAGATTTCTCTGAATTACACCTGTATTAATGTAATGAATTTAAAATGTTCGCCCTCGTGTGGTGATGTTGGTGAATTACACCACTGCAAATCTGACTGAACTCATTTCAGCTTTTCGCCCTCCTGTGGAGATATTTCTGCATTACACACTTGCTAATCTAATAGATTTGTCAGAGTCTGTCCACACACACACAGCTCTGTTTTACACTCCACAACAAATCAGTTATTCTGTAGAGACATTCAGACATTACTAGACTCACTACATGTCTTAAAGTCAATGATAATTCAGAAATATCTCTGTTAATATCTCATATAAAACATGCAACATCAGACAGAGAGATGGTATATTGCAGTAATGCTCCATCAGTCACTGTTATTCATCTACTGTTGTTCTCTGTTTACTTCTGATGATGCTTTAATTAAATGACTCTTACAGGCCACAGAACTGACATATAAACACTGAACAGAAACAAAAACACTATTTCCCTCCTTCAGTAAGTGTGTTTGATGCTTGTCTGCTGTGTGTGTGTTAATAACATGTGCAGATTTCCATCATTAAAGTCAATTTCTGTCCACTAAACCCAGACTGAGGACTCTTATTCTGTCAGAACTACAAAACATCACAACAAGAGATTACAGAGACAACAAACTCCAGCAAACATGAGTCTACTGAGCTGCTACAGCACTGCAGTATCAACACAGACTAATATTGATGCTCTAATATGAGCGTGTGGCTCATTCTGATGTAAATACCACAGTAAAAGTGGCAGGTAATATCTCCAGATCACTGTTGACAGGATAAATTCACTTACTCAGAGGTGAATCGCGTTGACATGCTGGATTCCTCCATTTTACCGGTCTGCCTGTCAGATTTATGTGCAGATGAGCAGGAAAATGAGCTGTTTAAGTGTCATTATTGTACTTATTCTGCAGGATCTGCATGTGTTGTTGTTTTCATCAAACGTCATGTCGTCCATCATTGAGAGGTGTCAGATTAAAGGTGAAACCCGCTCTCGCCGCCTTGTGGAGCGGAGGACAAGCTGCACTTTTGCTTTTGTGGATTAATTATTTGGATACTAATAAAGTCATAAACTGCACTTTTATATAAGTTCCTTCATATCATGTTTCATATAATATCTGACACCATTTAATAAATTAAATGTCTAAATATATGGCGCAAATCAGATCACTCTTTTACTTTCTTGATCTTTCTTTCCAACAACAAAGAAATCTCCCGAGATAATGACACCATGCAGAGAATAATGTTTGATAAATATATATATATATAAATATATGTATGTATTTATTAATATAGTCATTGTTTGATTTAATTGCATCTTAACACAAGCATCTAAATAGATCTTTATAGACTAAAATTCAACTGGGGAAGTCCTAATTGAGTCATTTGTTTTAATATCTGCAAAATAATTAGCAAACTAGTAACAATAGCATAACAAATGTAATATATTTCTATGTTGTAACATGTAAAATTTGAGCAAAAATAGTTTATGATGTATAAATTGCATTCATTTTATTAATCGTATGGTTTTCTTATATAAAAATATGAGTTAAGGTGACTAAACAATTGTGTTGAATTGTGTGTATTTCACTGATGCACCACTTGCATACAATGGTAAAACTCGAGCTTAAAATTATTTTGTATATGAAAAATCAACAGAACATCAGTAATATTGAAAATGTCAAAAAAAATAAATAAAAAATTGGAATAAGAGGAATAAGTTTCCAGTGTAAAAAAAACGTTTTTTTATGGAATAAAATGGCGTAGGAGCTTTGATGTTATTTATTAAAATATATAAGTTTTTATTTATATTAATTATTGCTGAAACTGCAACAAAGCAAAGCACTTTATTAGGATTGCCATTGAAACATATTTTTGTGTGTGATTTTCTTACATAAAAATGCGAGTTAAGAGAACGAAACTCCTGTGGGGAAATGTAAGTATTACAATAACACCCTTAAATCAACAGTCAAGGGAATCTAGGCTGTTCATGGAAATTTTTGAATGGAAATAAGTTGCCAGATGACGGATAGTTGGTGCGAGGGATCGTACTCAATATTTGGAGGCCACGAACCACTTAATTCAATCACTACTTGTCACTTTTACTAAAAAGCAGGTAAGGTGGCCAAATCGGCTCTAGGCTCCGGACGGACGCCTTCGGGGGTGCCCCCCCCCAAGTGCCTAGTGGTCCCCCTGACCACCATTTTGTCCACAAAAAGAATTTCCACAGTCCACGAACAGCCTATTTCATACATTGGGATAGATTGTAAGTAGGATGTCCAGATCTCAGCTTCTGGACACAGTAGAGAGCCCAAACCTGTGTTTCTGTGCTAGTCTGGACACGCCCTGTCTAGGGTGTGAATTTGAAGAAGATTGGAAAAACTTGAAAATTTGACCCAAAAAAACTCCAACCTTATAGATTTTTTGGGTCAAATTTTCGACTTTCTTCAATCTTTTTCAAATTCACAGCATAGACAGGGCATGCCCAGACTAGAACAGGAAGCCAGGTTTCAGCTTGCTAGCTCATGTAGAAGCTGAGATCTGGACATCCTACCTGCAATCTGTTCCATTCATAACAATAGGTGGTTGCTGGACAGTGGGATTTTGAGGTTTTACCAGCAGGGGGCAAGTCGGGGAGGTGAGGACCCACCTCCAATGGTTTGTTTGGGGATCTGTTGAGGTTTGACCACTTGGGTGAAAGAATTAAGTAAAACATCCCACTTGTAACTGATTTGACTGGGCCCAGTTTGGCTCTCTGTGGACAGTGCTTCTTTAGGCCATAGAAGTTGTTTGGTGAAATCTGATGGGGTAAAAATGCTGGGCAAGGATTCCTGACCCATCTGCTCCCCTTTATGTACTTCAAAATCGTTCCTGCTGGAAATGGTGACCCTTTACAGGGGTGTCCGCGGGCAGCCTACCTAGGTCTGTTCAAGTAAGCTACAGGTGGGATGTTTTTTCTTGATCCATCTGCTAGAGCAGGAAAACCTCAAAAAAGTGCCAAAAAACCTATTGGGGTGGATATGCAAGCCTCCCTGGGCCATTTCCAGGTGTCGAAATGTTGAAATTCCACTGTCCACGAACAGCCTATTTTATACATTGGGATAGATTGTCTGTGGGATGTCCATATCTCAGCTTCTGGACACAGTAGAGAGCCCAAACCTGCGTTTCTGTGCTAGTCTGGACAAGCCCTATCTAGGGTGTGAATTTGAAGAAGATTGGAAAAACTTGAAAATTTGACCCAAAAAAAACTCCAAGGGGTACCCCTTATAGATTTTTTGGGTCAAATTTTCGACTTTCACCAATCTTCTTCAAATTCACAGCATAGACAGGGCATGCCCAGACTAGAACAGGAAGCCAGGTTTCAGCTTGCTAGCTCATGTAGAAGCTGAGATCTGGACATCCCACCTGCAATCTGTTCCATTCATAACAATAGGTGGTTGCTGGACAGTAGAATTTTGAGATTTTAACAGCAGGGGGCAAGTTAGGGGGAGCTGGGGATCCACCTTCAAAGGTTTGTTTGGGGATCTGTTGAGGTTTGACCACTTGGGTGGGTGGATCATGTAAAACATCCCACGTGTAACTTATTTGAATGGGCCCAGGTATGCTGTCTGTGGACAGTGCTTTTTTAGGCCACAGAAGCCTTTTGGTGAGCTCTGACGTGGAAAAAAAAACTGCTGGGTGGGGCCTCCTGACCCCTTTACTCCTTCTAATGAACCCCGAAACTGTTCCTGCTGTGAATGGTGACCCTTTACAGGAGTGTCTACAGACAGCCTACCTAGGCCTGTTCAAATAAGCTACATGTGGGATGTTTTTTCCTGATCCATCTGCTACAGTTGGAAAACCTCAAAAAAGTGCCAAAAAACCTATTGAGGTGGATATGCAAGCCTCCCTGGGCCATCTCCAGGTGTCGAATCGTTGAAATTCCTCTGTCCACGAACAGCCTATTTCATGCATTGGGATAGATTGTAAGTAGGATGTCCAGATCTCAGCTTCTGGACACAGTAGAGAGCCCAAACCTGCGTTTCTGTGCTAGTCTGGACACGCCCTGTCTAGGGTGTGAATTTGAAGAAGATTGGAAAAACTTGAAAATTTGACCCAAAAAAACTCCAAGGGGTACCCCCTTATAGATTTTTTGGGTCAAATTTTCGACTTTCTTCAATCTTCTTCAAATTCACAGCATA